TGAAGCTATATGTAATCTATGATCTGTGAGAGAATGGTCAAGTTTTATTGTGACAATTTTGTCATGTCATGCGAAAGCAAGCTTCTTTCTCTACAGTAGTCTGTGGTCATGTCGTTGATGTCAAATACCAAGTACATACATACATAATTAAGTTTTTGGGATTTTTTAGCATTACAAGAAAACTGAAGTATTTGTAATACATAACAAAGAAAGAAATAAGGTTTATTCCGAATACACGCAAATTTTTCCAGAAAATACTTTACTAAAATTAATAAAATGAGTTTCGAAAACAACAGTAACGGCAATGAAAAAGAAGAACGTAAATATTCACACGAGCGCAACAAATCCGACGAATTACAACTATCACGGACTGACATGAACATGTTAATAATGAATTATCTAGTAACAGGTAACTTCATTTTGATTAAAATTAATTTTTACCTCCATTTTGTAGTATAGATCAAGTAAGCCTGCAATCGGGTAAACGATTTAGTATTGCCTCTATTTTCTTGTAATTTGCATATAGCAGCTTATGTCAAACAATAAGTAAAGCAACTGTTATGAACATTAACATCCAGTATTGTTTGATGAACATTAACATCCAGTATTGTTTGATGTATCCATTTTGATCAATATTTAGTCAACTGTACAGTTTCGTTAATTATTGCAATAGAGCAGTAGGGGTGTGAGCTTGAACTGAAAATATAGATGAAGCCTACAAATTCTGCAAATGCATTCTCACAGTAAAGTGATGTATATCAACAAACAGTATTTCTTCTATATTTTAGTTGTGTGTGTTGTATAAATTACTGAATTAACATAATGATTGACATCTGGACGTTTGTTTTAAACCCAACAATATGTATTGATGAGCTCCTAATGTGTAAATTGGGTGCCATGAGAGAAAATAAGAGTGACCATTACTGAAAATAGTTCACACTTTGTAATAAATACATTATATTAGTACAACAATAACATCATCATTCTTTCCTATTACCCTCTGCAGGGGTGTAGGACTCGAATCAAATTTTTCCATTTATATCGGTCTTGGGCAGTCTGTTCTAGCTCCTCCCACGTCGTGCCCAAGATCCCTAGCTCCTAAATAACAATATAATTAAATTGAATGTCATTGGTTTTTGGCAGAGGGCTTCAAAGAAGCAGCCTTGAAGTTTCAACAGGAGGCAGGTCTACAAGAGCCAGCCCTATGCAGTTCCTTGGACGAGAGGATAATGATCCGTGAAGCAGTACAGGGTGGTAGAATCCCTGAAGCTATTGCTATGGTCAATTCATTACATCCTGAGCTTTTAGATAATGATAGATATTTATACTTCCATTTGCAGGTATGTAATTCATGTTAAATTCAAACCTTTTTGTCATAATATAGGTGTCATTTTCATTTTTGTCATAATATAGTTGTCATTCATAGATGCATGAAATAGAAACATTAAATAGTTTGAAGTTCTGCAATTTTTGTTTATTGGAGGATCCTACACTGTTTGTAGTCTACCTAACTATTCATCAGGGTACTGAACCCTGGTCACCTCTAGATACTATTACTATCTACTTACTGTTAATTGAAATATTTTTAGCAATTACAACTTTTGGAGCTGATTCGTGCAGGACGTGCTGAAGAGGCATTAGCCTTTGCAAGTGCAACGCTCGCAGAGGCTGGTGCCAATGATGCCAATGCTCTGACTGAACTAGAGAGGTCATTGGCTTTACTGGCCTTCCCTGACCCACATACCTCACCCTTTGCTGATCTGCTGCTGCCTTCGCACGGTCAAAAGGTGATTTGTGCTAATGTATTTTCTTGTACTTTACAAATGGTATACATAACACAAACTAAATTAATTAAAAAAAATACTCTTGCTNCAGAGGCTGGTGCCAATGATGCCAATGCTCTGACTGAACTAGAGAGGTCATTGGCTTTACTGGCCTTCCCTGACCCACATACCTCACCCTTTGCTGATCTGCTGCTGCCTTCGCACGGTCAAAAGGTGATTTGTGCTAATGTATTTTCTTGTACTTTACAAATGGTATACATAACACAAACTAAATTAATTAAAAAAAAATACTCTTGCTTGGTAATCGCACCATTTCATCACTTCGAAATCGTCATGGCCCAAGGGATAAGACGTTCGGTGCATTCGTGTTGAGCGATGCACCGGTGTTCGAATCCCAGGCGGGTACCAATTTTTGTAATGAATTACGTACTCAACAAATGTTCACGATTGATTTCCACAGTGAAGGAATAACATCATGTAATAAAAATGAAACCCGCAAATTTGCGTAATTACTGATGGTACGACCTCTTGTGAGTCCGCGCGGGTAGGTACCACCGCCCTGCCTATATCTGCCGTGAAGCAGTAATGCGTTTCGGTTTGAACGGTGGGGCAGTCGTTGTAACTATACTGAGATCTTAGAACTTATATCTCAAGGTGGGTGGCGCATGTACGTTGTAGATGTCCATGGGCTCCAGTAACCACTTAATACCAGGTGGGTGGGTTGTGAGCTAGTCCACCCATCTAAGCAATAAAAAATGAAAAAATGGTACTTGACGTGGGTCTGTATTATACTGAAATTGGAATTTTCTTTTATCTAGGTATTACTTTACAACTTCTTAAGTTGAAAAACTATGTGTCCTGTACAAACAATATACTAGTTTCTAGATTATTTTTGTTGCTTTTATATCACTAGACAAGACAGTCTCATGGAATTCAACATGTTTAGTGGTTCCCAAAATCGATAATTTTCACAACACTAATGCTGGAACCCATCTTGAGACATGAGGTTAGTCTCAAATGTATCCAATAACAGCTGTTCTACCATTGAGTACTTAACTTTCAAAGATAATATATTGAATTGATCACCAGATTGCAAGTGAACTCAATGCGGCTATACTCAAAATGGAGAATCAAGAATATACAAATCCAAAGCTGTGCAGTCTTCTTCGCATGATCCTGTGGTCTCAGAGTGAGCTGGACAAGCACAACATCAAGTACCCTAAGATGACAGATCTTGCTAATGCTACTATAGGGCAACCAAAGTAACCAATCTGCTGTTTAACAATTAGAATATTTATTACCTCAACAGGACTTGTGATGTCTTAAAAGACCCGAGTAAATGGATTGAAAAAAATTAAAAGTGTACTTATTTTTTGAGCTTAAATTTTTTTTAAAACAATAATGAGCTAACAAATAAATTAAAAATTTGGATACTTTTATCAAACTATTCATTAAATGCATGTATTTTGTGGTACGAATGTACCAGACTGTAACCGAAATGAATGTAATGTCAATGTATCAGACATCACAAGTACTCTTGTAGAATTTTAAGGAGTTTAGTGCTTAATAGTGATCTAACGAGTATTCGTAGATGTTATCGCCTACACAAGTTCATTTGCTACTTACTGACACTTCTACCGTACCATGGTACCTACTATTTTGTAAAGGTTAAATGAGTCGACTATTATCAAAGCCGGCAATGTGACTTTTGGACAATTATTGGGAAATCAGAAAAACGAATTATTGACTTTGTATTCCATTGGCAGTCACAAAACTCTTCTGAACGACATCTTAGATAAATAACAGGTTAAGTTAATACTTTATTTAATACAGGTTTTGAACCGTATTCTTTGAAGGAGACAATTATATTCAAATCAATCTGTATTGACATATCAATAACATTTTTTTGTCCAAATGCACAGATTGCCACCTTTGATAATAGACGACTCAAATATTGACAGCCAGTACTATCTATTGGTTTTAGTGGATACGTGCAGCGACACTTAGCAGGGTCGCTTCCAGTGCCGAATTAGCTGTGACTATTCATGAAGGGTGACCGCCTGTATAATATTTTCAAATTAAGTAAAAGTGATATTTGCTGAAATAGATCCAGCCTTAACACAATGGGTTTTTTTCCTACCTATTCGTCGGAAGATTAAGGGGCTATTCTAGCTTCACACAGACAGAGTAAGCCGGGTAGGTAACCTGAAAAGATTTGCTAACACTAGCCCAGACAAGAGCGCAACTTCGCAGAATCTACTATTGGATCAGAATTGCAACTCACTGATAGGATCCAGCTTAGTGGGCTGTGCCTATAAGACACTGCTGTTGATATTCTAATTAATGTATTACCTGACAACAAACTACCTACATCAAATTATAAGTACCAATGCACAATCGCGTCAGAAACCCAATATTTTTACGTCACTGTCGCTTATTATTTATTCGAGGCAATTTTAAATCAAGTTTATGGAAAAGTATTAAGGTTTTAAAGTTTAGACTATAGTGTTTTTTATAGTACACTCTAGCGATAGTGTTTGTATAATAATCATAATTATTTTCTGCTACCTTTAGAACAATAATGAGTTTATTGAAAGTGGTACATACTGCTATAAATTTTTAATTGAATACAACATACATCTGGTGTNTATTTATTCGAGGCAATTTTAAATCAAGTTTATGGAAAAGTATTAAGGTTTTAAAGTTTAGACTATAGTGTTTTTTATAGTACACTCTAGCGATAGTGTTTGTATAATAATCATAATTATTTTCTGCTACCTTTAGAACAATAATGAGTTTATTGAAAGTGGTACATACTGCTATAAATTTTTAATTGAATACAACATACATCTGGTGTGGGGCATATTTTTTCAATATCATTTTATTAGTAAAACTTACACAATAAATATACTAACAAGTTTCTATATCATTTACATTAAAGCTGTATATGTTATCTGTTAATTAATACGTGAAGCAAAAACTTTGTACCCCGTTTTACGAAAATTGCGCGGATGAAGGAGTATGAAATTTCCCACACTTATAGAGAATATAGAGAGGGAGTGCAGAATGTTAATATTTTTGTAATTATGCATAGAAAATACATTAAATCATTAAATAAAACATTACACACATTACCATGTATTTGACACACACGCATAAATGTGTACTGGCGTTTACTGGTGGTAGGACCTCATGTGAGTACGCGCGGGTGGGTACCACCACCCTGCCTATTTCTGCCGTGAAGCAGTAATGCGTTTCGGTTTGAAGGGTGGGGCAGCCGTTGTAACTATACTTGAGACCTTACTTGTATCTCAAGGTGGGTGGCGCATTTACGTTGTAGATGTCTATGGGCTCCAGTAACCACTTAACACCAGGTGGGCTGTGAGCTCGTCCACCCATCTAAGCAATAAAAAAAAAATGTAATATATTAAGTGTATAATCTATGTGTAGGTACTCTTGTTTATTATTAAAGTCTGGTAAAATTGAAAATAGATTAATAATGTTTATCTTTTATATTATTTGTCTGTAGTGGCGAAATCTGTTACCTACTATAAAACAATGGTGATTATAGAAATATGACAATAGAACCATAATAATGATCAAACCTATAGTGGTCGAAATTCGCCAACTGGGGGACTACTAGTATTACTAGTTGACCGTTTAACTATTTTAAAATAAGTAGCCTCTAAAGCAGTGATTCTCAACCACTGTTCCGCGGCACTTTTGTGTTAATTTCAAAAGTGTGCCGCCAAATTTTGCGAATATATAATAATGTTAATATTATTAAATTATATCATTTTAAAAGAAAAATATTTTAAACATGAATATGTATTTAAATCCACAAAAAAAAAATTATTGTATATTTTAGTTTATTTCGTATATTAAAATTTTTTGATAAACTATTTATGCAGTGTGTTGTAGTAAGTAAATAATTTTTTCTTTTTTTTTGTGTTCCGTCAAATTTTGAAATCGTTAAATATGTGCCGCAACAAAAAAAGGTTGAGAATCACTGCTCTAAAGCTATAAAGAAAAACGGCAATACACTACAAATTTTACGTGCTCTTGGTCAAAACGAATGAGGTTAATTTTTATAGGTGTTCTGTTTTTATGTGTTTACTCGTTTACGTTACGATATTTCGATAGTTTATATAAAAAGTCACACATAAAAATATATCCTGGTCAGTGGGTAGTTTCATAAAATAACTGATTCAATAACTTTTTAACTTGATGACAGTCTATAATGGATAAAGAAAATAATTTCATATTCGTTAAATGAATTCAAATTACTGCGTTCGATACACAAAGCAGATAAACATAAAAAAAAACGACCGTAATATGACGACACATTTTTCAATGTCAATGCACAAATTGTCGTCTTCATTGCAAGGACTAAGAGCGGGCAATTATGGTTGCCCTAACTTGGCACAGCGGTGGCGCTGCGCTATTAATATTTTGTCTAAATTCTAAAAGTCTAGATAAGTCTATAAACGATGTGAGAGTCACTTAGCTGTAGACACGGGGGGAAAGTCGCAACTGTATTGTATATCGGCTGTCCCACCCTAAAAACCCAAACAAACGTCTGTTTCGCGGTAGAATTCGTGAGGATGGCGGTGCCAACCCGTGCAGGTTCACAATACGCCCTACCACCAGCAAAATTATTGCTTAACTTCGAATCGATTATTTCAATTAGGTACTATTTACCTGTTATGGTTTTAGACTTAATATCTATATCTTTTTTCGGACAAATTGATCGTACGTGTCCAATCACTACATAGTATAAAACAAAGTCGCTTTCTCTGTCCCTATATCCCTATGTATGCTTAAATCTTTAAAACTACGCAACGGATTTTGATGCGGTTTTTTTATAGATAGAGTGATTGAAGAGGAAGGTTTATATGTATAATAACATCCATTAAATCGTGGAGAAATCAATAATAAATTAGTTTCCGAAGCGAAGCGAGGGCGGGTCGCTAGTAACTGTATGTTTAAAAATCGACACTTGTTTAAATTATATTTTACTTTATCATTTAAATGTGTTTCTTGTATGTTTCTGACAGTCTTACTTCAATCATACATGTATAAGATATTCGCTGGTAGCATATGGGGCTATTCCAGCTACGCCCGGACGGGTTGGCGAGCTCACGGGCTCAACCTGAGAGAGTTTGCTAACACTAGCTCTAGCAAGAGCAGTGCTTCGTAGAATCTACCACCGGATCGGAATCGCGACCCACTGAGAAGATTTGGCGAGAAACGATATTGAGTGTTTAATATTCAGTTGGACTTTGCAAAATCAGCTGAGCCAAAGACAGCCTATGTCCTGCTCAGCTGATCAAAAATCTTTTATCACATCAATGTTCATTCTTCATTCTTTTTTATTTTTCTTCCTCTTTTATTGAAAGAAGATTAAAATAAAGAAGCTGCAGTGGAACAAAAACGGTATCACTGTTGTTCCTGACGAGCATACTATTGCAGAGATTATGTATACATTTTCAGACCATATTTTGCACAAAATATCGGCATGACGAAAGCCTTTGTTTGAAAATATTGCACCCACATTGTGTACTGAAATGTGACCAGTTTAGATTACGTATAATTGGGTATATGTTTATTTTGTAGCGTAACTAGCAGTAAAATATTCGTAATAAAATTTAATAAGTGTTTAATTAATTAGAATAACGTTTGGACCCTTTTCCAAAATTAATATTGTGAACGCTATTTTTGCACTCAACTTTAAGAGTGTATAATTTTAGATGAGTATATTGTAGTTGAGAATATAATATGTTCTGTAGGTTCAACTTTAGACTATTAAAGTTCCAAACGATTTTTTTCTTTACAAAATTTGTAACATACTTTAATCAATTAATGTTATTTAAAAACTTTTTTATTCGCAAGATACCTATCTCGGTTAGACATTAAATTAATTATATATTTAAAGTTAGATAAATGTAAGTTTCGTCGTGTGTAAGATGAAAAAAATTAAAGTTTTGGATATCGAATTATTCTTTTATTTATAAATTTCATTCCTGTTAACATTATCTTAAAGCTAACATAATTAAGATTGCATGTTGATATACTGAATAAATTAATCAATGATCAAATGTAATTAAAAGCATCTGAAACAGCCAAAAGCAAACAAGTATAGTATAGGTAAGGTATAGTATACAGTACCTACCTATAGGTAAATTTAAACAATGAATTTAGTTCGTATTGGAGCGCAACATGAAACTTCAATAATGGGAAAATTGTGTGGCGATAGCACGGAGTCAGTAATGTTATAAATAACTTTTGCCACTGCTTCAATTGAGTTAATGTAGTAAAAATATATCCCTCTAAAATAGTATTTGTTATGTATATTTGACACAGTATGACTAAAAACATAAATCACAGCATTTATAATGTTAGTTCGAATTGTACGCGCTCCTCTAGATTTGATAAAATGTTACACATAAAAAATATAGGTCGTTTAATATTTAGGTTACATGCGATTTATTTTCTGACATATTGTTTTAATACATTCAAATGGCGCAGCTCTTGCTGGTAAATGTTGTAAATGTTTATTAATATTCTTAAATTCGTTAAGTTTCTATTTTGATTATTTTTTTAAACGAAATATCCTTTAGATAAATATTTGCTAGATCTTTCTCAATTATATGTGAAGTAGCTAATTTCTACGGGTATAAAGGTCACCGGAAAGCATTAGCGTCCCAACCTGAATATACCGTTTCCCTCGAGAGATGAGATTAGGCTCAATTACATTAGAAATTTCAGAGCTACTTCAGCAGAAATATATAGGACAGTAGTATCGGTCCTTACAGGCTAAGAACCTGCTCAACCACTAAATTCGATATATACCTACTTTATAATTTTTTTTATGATCTATTTATTACTACAATGTTGCTAATACAATTTTTTATATAGAAGATAGGGATGACAGTATTACCTTAAACGAAAACACGGCCTTCACAGGTGATTATGTAATAAACATTAAATTGTAAACATAATTTTGTGAATAATATTAATTTTATATTATTAAACAAAAATATTACATTGAGATTAATGTCCCCAAAATTCAGATCAGTAGGGCTGGAAGAGTTAAAATAGTAGGTAATATCTTATTTCTATATAAATAGTATGGAATGACATTTAAATAAGTTTTTTTAGAATACAGGTTACTGACCTTGTCCAAACCTACAGACCGCGTTTTTTTTCTTTCTATTCTACCAGGCCACAGACATCAAATCATAAAATCAAAACTATTCAGTATTTGATGATGAAATATCTCTTTTTCCCGAAGTCCAGACGTTATCAGGTAAAACTGTCATCCTCACCCCATTCATTAAAATTGTGAAATTTAGTATCTATTTTATGATTAAACAACATTCGCATGATGTGAACAGTGGTCATTTTATGGGCCACAGAGACATCAAACTTTTACAAAATTAATGTAAATGTATTTGTGGTATCCCTTTAAGTTATTTCAATAAAGTTTTAGATAAAGTATTTGTCACCATCCAAGCACATAGTCTAATGCTTTGGAAATGAGACCACTAGACTTCTGAGGGACTGGTGCTGAGGGTATTGGTGTTGGACATAGGGATCGGGCTCCAGTAGTTTGCCTGCAAATAAAAACGAAAGATAATAATAGCTGCTCTCAATGACAACTTTTATAGAAAAAAATTCTCAGAGTCGACAAGGTGTAGTGGTTACTGAAGCCAATAAGCATCGTAACATGAATGCTGTCACCCCTCTTGCAACAAAAATATATGATATATAATAATCAGAGTCAATCACAAGTCAGAAATTTAATAACTAATGAAATAATAGATTAAAAATGATTCTAATATCCTTTTTTCGCATTGAGCATTATACACAAGAATAGTTCAGCAACTTCCAGATAATTTGGAGGTACTTAATATTGGTATCGTATAATAAAATAAACAGAAACGCAAATGTCCAATTTAACCCTAATAGTAATATTTGATTATTTTAAACATATTTAAACTGTAGATATTGTACCTTTCGGGTGACATAATTCCAGGACTAGTAAAAGATATTCGAGGTGGTTCCTTGCACTCAATTACTCCAACCATTACCCCTGGCAAGACTTGCCTTCCACTTAAAGCCATGGCTCTCTCTTTCTCTGCTCTTGTCGCATACCTAATGTGGGCCCAGTTGCCTTGTGTAGGATACTGCTTGTCTATTGATATAAATTGTAAAAAATTATAGTTTTGTGGAAAAGAATAAATCACAATAATAAAAAGAGATTTGATCATCATAACAATTATTTGAGTAATTATTTAGCAATATATGCAAATTAATACTGAAATGTATGTAAGTATTAGAAAATTCAGATTACTTAATTTAAATAGCGTTTAATCAGCATTTCTAATGAAAGAAGACAATGATGATTGACATGAGCTAATCTTTTTTATATAATAAGAGTAAGAGTTAATAACATTCTAACCCAGAATAGCACCACAGTTGCTGAATCTTGCCAATACTGTATTAGCAGCATTAGGTGGAAACCCAAACACAGTCACCCAGTATTCATCTTGTTCTTGACAAATATCCTGCCATTGGGATAAAGATTGATTGTTAACAGACAGATCGATGTTGTTTCCATAGGAATTTTGTAACATCATATTATTTCCATAGCCAAGAAAACTGTGATCATTATACAATGATTTATTTACAGACGGCTCATTGCTTTTTATTGTGTCGAATAAGTCTTCAATGGGTGGACCATTCGGCTTAGTCGAGTAAGATATGTTGGGTGAAGTCGGAATATTGGTATATGTGCTTTGTTGGTTATACAGCGCTTGCTGGTGCATAGAGATGTTCTGACGGTATATTTTTTGATCTGGTGTTGATGTTTTACTAGGACTGGTAGGTGAACCTGCAAAAAAGATTACCATTGACATTACTTATGTTTAAGTATTAATTTTCTAGCAATTACATGCCCATAAATGAATAAAAACTTTTAGGAGTTAGACTACGCTTGAAGCTCAGATTGCTCGGTAAAGTCACTTGAGTAGGTTATTCAGAATTTTACCCTAAGGCTACATGTTTAAAACGGTATTTGCAATGCGTGCTGTTCCCGGTATTTTATTATACATACCAAATGCTAGATTTCGTCCTTTAGTTGGGGACAAACTATTTGTTCTAGGTGTTGTTGGCGGATTTATTTCACCAAGCAGAAAAGGCGGTAAATACCCTACATTAGGGCTTCCTGAGGGCGAATGTGTAGGACTACCAAGTGTCATTGGTTCCATCTTTGTAAATCTTTAATATGTATATGATTTAGCTACCAAGTTTGCACGTTTAATTTCTTTTAACCGTAACGTTCCTACTTTTAATTTACTCAGAAGTCAAATTCTAGTTGACACTGACAGTTTGTAATTGTCGTTAAACTCATAGATAATAAATAATAAAAAAAACAAGTATTACTTAACATACAAACACATTACATAAACTCAATGATATCTGTCTAAATAGTACATTATATCTGTATTCAATACTTAAATTTTCTAAATTATTCCAGCTTTTTTATTGGCTGTAAAGGAGAGAGTGAAGCTTTGAATGGTTTTTTTTTTCCTACCTAAGCTAGTAGGTGAGCTCACGGGGCTCAAAACTGACGATCTTTTGAATGGTTCTATTTGGTAACGTTTATATACCACCAGTATTGGTTTTATCCTCTTTTTTTTCTTCTTCTTTCAGCCCATTGCTGGGCATAGGCATCACACGAGCCTCGCCAGCGAGCGGTCCCGCACTACTTACATCCGACGGATTTCCGCGAACCTCAGGAGGTCGTCGGTCCACCTTGTGCGAGGCCTAGCCACGCTACCTATTAGTCTTACCAATAGTTTTATATTCACGAAAGTGCATACATGTGAGAAAATGACACGAGATACATTTATGTGAATTTCCGGCTTCTTCCAAATTATAGTGCATTGAAATCATGGTACCGAGGGGTGAAAGGCCATTTTGTTTAAGCGACACTTTTAAAACTTTGCAGGAGAACCATTTAAGCTTAAAATTGGAAAAATAAAATGAAAAAAACTTGTTATTTGCATGGTGTAAATATAATTGAAGTTCGATTAAAAACATCGAATTGTTGATGCTAACTTAATACCAAATGAAATGGACCTTTAGTTACAAAAATAAATGTCGCATATTAAGCAAAATGTCGCTTATACCTTTTATTCCTCAATATATTCCTACTTATTTACGGAGTAGTTTTTTCATTCCATTCAACCCTAACATAGTACTATTTCTTGTTATTTGTATCAGTTAGTTGTATGCAATTGTATCATGCAACTTTTCACCAGCGATATGGATTCCGTCAGGCTTATGTAAAGTATCTATATTATCGATACCTATATTCTAATTGTATGAAAGCCTCAGCGCATATGCTCTCTTTGCCTATTAAATTGGACTAAACAAACGAAGCAACTACGCTAGATGTCAAGTTAAATGTCAAATTGTCAAACAAATGAATATGGATTCTCGGGCTGCGAAGCTTGAGAATTATAATTTTGTTAATAAAAATGAATGTGATAAACCTCTTATTGATACTCCACAATGTACCCCAGCTAACAGTCACAACGTTGTTCATAAGTTGTTTAATAGGGAGGTAAGTTAGTATTTGTTAAAAATAAATACATGGTTAACTACTATGAGCCTAGCTTGATGCTTGACTTTTGATTTGTTTTTTTTTGTATTATTTATTCATACCACCACTATGAGGCTCGTGTTTTTAAAAAGAATCAGGTCAAATAATGGGAGCACGATCCAGAAGTTTTAAGTTTGGTTAATTATCAAACGAGCATTATCGATAAATAGATCGTATAAGAAAGCCCAAAAAATTGGATCGAAAAAATAAAAAAGTCTATTAATAATCTATGCATATACTTTCTTTTTTATATTCTATAAAAATAAAGACTTAAAAAATGTGATGTCTCACTATTAATACTTACTAAAATAATATAATTTTTTTTAAAATTAAATACTTATTTTAGCATGTATTTTGCTTGGTATTCGCAGGTCTTAGGCAATAAAATAAGGTGAAATTAAATTCAAGACTAATGGCTAGTGTGGCATATTTAAAATTAGGAAATGTAATTGGTTAAAGGGCGAAAAAAACCTAAAGTTGCTTAAGTTGACTAAAGACAAAAAAAATATACAACAATTAAGCATTAGTATCAATTGTTCTAGTTAATAAATTAAGCCAAAGTTATATATTTTTTAAGTAGATAATGGTTGTTATTTAAATTTAGAATCACACAATGATATACCTGACTTAAAAAATAACAAAAGAGATAAAATAGCATTTCATTATTTAAAATTTGGTTTTGGTCTGTTTGATAATCCTTGTACAGTTCTTATGAAGTTATTCTGACCAGCCCAGTTATAATCTTTGCTCTTTTAAAGTTATTGATGAGGGTAATAAAATGGAATAATCAAAAAAATTACAAATATGAACTTGACAGGAGTATAATAAATTAGGAGCTATGGGAGTTATCTAGTTTTAGGCACGATCTTTAAATTAAGATTTGAGCTTTAATGCTTTACTGTAAAAATATAGTGGGTGAATTAACAATAACCCCTACCACCAATACCGTCTTTACCATACCATAATATGCGTGCCCAGGGGCCCCATTCTCAGAGGGCCCCGAAAGACCCACGATTTCTCTCACACGTTTATTCTCAAAACATTTTTGTCGGGCACATTACACTTTTTTCACAAATCACTAATCAGAAGGTATTTACAAGGCATATACTATGCCTATAATAGAAGATTTTGCTCAACAGAAACCGTTCCTCCCGAAAGAAACCATTATCAAAATTGTAACCAAAAAACCAGCAGCATTCTAATATCATTAATGACATATTATATCATACTGTATTTGATTACCTATAATAAATGGTCAAACTCAGTAAAAAAATGTTATTATAATTTGCTTTTTTCACGTTCCAAAAGGGCCTCAAATTCTTGTGTGCCCAAGGGCCCCATCCTAGTTTAAGACTTCCCTGCCTACCACACTAGATATTTTTTGAAAGAGGGGAAAACAGTAACAAGGCTTTGGAAATCTCTTTCAGATCTTAGGTTGTACATCAAGAAAATACAATGAAAGGAGTCGTAAAGTATTTGACAGAATTCCACCCCGACTAAGGTTCTGTCTTATGGATATTGTGCCAATGTCATATCTTAGGGAGCATGTGTTCATGGGATTTTCACAATGTGGACAGTTTTTACTCAGTTTTACATATAGCTGTAACTCACAAGTGTACTTCAGAGAAAGTTCGAAGTTTACGTAAGTTTTGTATAATATTATAGATTAAAAATAAATAAAAATGTTCTGTATTGTCTGTTTGATATTAATGTTGTACTTTTTACCACATATTTAGCAATTCTGGGGAAGCATGATGATATTTATAATTTTGTTTATACAGCCTTCACTTTCTTTTGTGGGTTCCTGGTCGAGTGGTCCGTCCAGTGCACAGTGTGCCTCTGTTTGGAGATGACAGCGTTGACAGTAAAGTTACCATATCAATGGCACAATGGAAGCATAACCCTGGTGTGCTTGTTGTTTATGGTATTGCGTAAGTTATCCTTTTAACATAATTTATATTGAAGGTATTATTTTGAAAATGAAAATGTACAGGCCAATATTAAACTACTTATTGATTAAACCATAAACTTTGCATCTCTGAGCAATAATATGCCGTGGGTTCATTTAAGTGGACTCACTATGTATAAATAAAAATACCCTTATCACATTATGATGTCATTTTAGGTAGACTATGGTAGCTACAGTGGATTTTCCATAAGCTCTACATTACCTGTCGAAGCCCTCCATGACATTGGGCTAGACTGATCCATGAAACTGTACTGTAACCTCAAGCCTAACCCTCACAGGCCCATCTATATGAGACCGGTGCCTACTTATTGTCACCTGTTAAATCCAATGTAACCTAAGTGTTTTTCACTAGGTTGTCGGTCCATCTGGTAGATGACCGTCCCACACTACACTTGTCAGTACGTAGTCTCCACTTAAGAATCTTTCTGCCTCTGAGATCTACATAAATATTTTTTGTATTAATTTTTATACATAAATATTTTAATATTTTTCTACATGAATATTTTAGTTACTTACTTTTTTCTTTACAGAGATTCATGCTCGGAACGATCCTACCTCAGTGTAATTGGTGTTCCTCGTTTAGGATGTAAGAAATGTGCAGCGTTTTCTAGAGATGAAGGTAAATAATATCTATCACTAATTAATTACCGTCTTTCATTTTAGCAAAATCCATTAAAACATGTCTTCATATACAGTGTGAAATATTAATACAACTGAAATTTTAAGTAAAAATCGTTATTACTCATATATTTTATTATGAATTTATATAAAAAACATATTTAATAAATCGAAAACCAATGTCAACTACTTAACACATGGATTAAAGTTATTAAATATAATTAAAAATTAATAATGAAACTACCTTTGGATTATTATTATATTGTAAAAAATTGCACACACACAACTAGCTTATTAAGCTGACGCTGGTGTATTGATTTTTGGAGGATCGGTTGTGCCTGTTCTTGAAGCAGATTGATGTTGATGCTGATGCAACATTTTTTACCAGGCTGCTACATTCCGATTACACGGTTTGGTAAAAAGGAATAAAGAAAAGAATAAAATTTTGGATTGAGGTAGTTGGTAATTTGTTGTTGATATACTGTATAAGATAAGTGTATACTATTGACATATATTACCAGCACCGAAAATTTAAAAGCATTTAATTTTTTCAGGTGATTTAAACTGGGGTAAAAGATGTCTGGAACACAACTTTGCCATTCACACAAAGTTCTTCTGCACATCAGATTCCAGCATGTACGAACCGGTGGTGCAACTGGCGTACTCCAACCAAATCATCATATACACCGATTTTATACACATACTCGAAATAGACTTCGTTAAACCGGACCAAGAAAGACATGAAGTAATTGAACACACAAAGTTTGCTTTGGATAGAGAAGAACTTAGTTCAATGGATACGAATCCTAGTACACCAGCATCAGATGTCTCTGCGGCCTTTCAATCTCCCAAATACCAGAATAACGTCGTTCAGAATATTTTAGCGGATTTCTCTGATTTAGAAATGGAACCGTATCAACTGTCTCGGCCGGTGCACGTGCCCGACGTCATGGGACAGGAGCTGTGCATCCAGGCCGCGTCCATATCGCACCACCTAGTCGAGGAGTGGGAGGGCCCGTCGCCTTCCATACGGACCTTGATAAGTCCTCCGCTAAGGTCTCCGAGGCGACGTCCCGCAGAAAGCATGTCTAGGTTTAACGAAACCCACAGAATAAACGCTGAAAAGGCCTACGAGTTCGTCGAAGAGACCGAAACGAAGTGTGAGAAATTGAGTTTGTTCAGGAAACGGAGGCTAGCCGATAAGAAATACGAATTTTCTGAGGACAACAACGAGAACATTGTGCCCTTCAGGGTGCTGCGGAGCAATAGGAAGTATTACATCGGCGCGACGGGCAGCAAGGGCGGCGTGAAGCGACCCAAGTCGCCGCCCGTGGAGAGCGTGGTGCTGAGGACCCACAACCAGATCAGCCGGCCCCCCTCCCCCGGCTGCGAGCTCAAGAACCCGGGCTTGTCTGGCCTAGAGTCGGATCACAATAGCGAATCGGAGTACAGAGTGATGGAGATGCTGGACGACGGCTCGCTGAAGACGGTGTCGGTGCACGACAACACGTCCAAAACGCTCTCCGACTGCCCCGTGAACGTCCACGACCCTTACCTAGTGCACTCCGGCAATTCGAAATGCAGCAAATTCTTTACGAGGTACTTTGTTGAGAGCGACGATGAAATCACTTCAATCCTCACAGATTCCGAAGGTGAGTTTCACATTTCTCAATACTGTGTTTTTTTATTTTATAGCTTTGATGGGTGGGTCGAGCTCACGGTCCACCTGGTGTTATAATGGTTGATTGATACAAATACAAGATATTATTATCACTTATAGAAGTACAACTGACGAGACTGTACAGAGTACTGTGCTGAGCTCAATGCAGTACTCTGTACAGTGACTCATTTGTGGTCTTTAGTTCCTCGCTCTGTCTAACAAAGGTGTTTCATAGCGTAAAATAGACCTTTCATTATCATTAATATTTATTAAATTTATTAGTGGTGGTAGGACCTCTTGTGAGTCCACATGGGTAGGTACCACCACCCTGCCCATTTCTGCCGTGAAGCAGTAATGCTTTTCGGTTTGAAGACTGGGACAGCCTTGTAAAAATGAGATCTTAGAACTTATATCTCAAGGTGGGTGGCGCATTTACTTTGTAGATGTCTATGAGCTCCAGTAACCACATAAACAGGTGGGCTGTGAGTTCATCCACCCATCTAAGCAATAAAAAAAGCCATATCCCGCGTAATGTTGCCGCGGCGTGTGCAGACGACTGCATGTCGGGGTACCACGTGGCGCTGCCGCTGGCGGCGCACGGCGCGGGGTACGCGGCGCTGCAGGGCGTGGGCGCGGCGGGCTGGGAGCGCGCGGCGCCGGCGCTGGCGGTGCGCGCGCAGCAACGCTCGCTCGACACGGAGCTGCTGTGCAACGAGGTCTGCGGCCGCCTGTGCAACATCAACGGCAAGAAGTTCATCTACTGCTTCGACTGGGGCTGCCACGTCATCGACGTCTGCCAGAGCAGCGGCTGTCTGTCCGGGGTCAGTCCGTACACCTTCTCACCTGTCAACTTATTACACCAAACAATCCACCCGAGGTCCAGCGGCTAACTACGCTCTCTAAGGCAGCGGTCGGGGAACCGGGGTAAATTACCCCACATGGGGTAAAATGAAATTTTGGTGGGTAAAAATGAAACTTTTGTTAGTAAAAAGTATATATTGAAGTGAAACTTCTTTAGAATCGTTAAATTTTTAGTTATTGTTTTCTTTTCAAAATTATCATGGGGGCTATTATATGAAGGATACTAAAAAGAAGCGATTTCGTTTTTTTTTGTTCTTCGCCATGGAGTAATATCAGCTTACACAAAATATGTTGGGGTAATAATTAAAAAAGTTCTAAAGCATACAGTTACGCGACGCGAATGTGGCCACCCTGTGCAAATGAGACAAAATAATGTTTAAAATAAATAATACTTTAAAAAAAGTAACAAAATACCCCACGCTTTTTTTACAATATAATCATTTTTTCTTACACTATTTTTAATTCAATTTTTTTTTTTTATATTTTTTAGTTGGATTTTCTATAAAAGCGTATTTTGTTAGTTTTTTTAAACTATTATTTATTTTTCATTTTTTCCTTAAAATTCAATTTTTTCAATTTTTATTTTAAATATTAGCTGTCATCGGTCCTTAATAATTATACCAAATTTCGAATTAATCCGACGTTTTGAAGGGGGTCAAAATCATGTTCTAAGATTCCGTTACAAACATACATACATACGTCTGAAGTTAATAAAACCCTATTAAAAAAGATGCACATCACAACATGACGATGACACCATGACACAAAAAATTACTTACACAAAAACTTAAAATTTAAGCATTTACAAAGAGGATTGTAAATTTGATAGAGACACGTAGTTTTTTTTCTATAATTAACATTATATGAAAAAGAAGTACATATAATAATAAAATCGCTTAAAGATATTAACACTTTGAATGAAAGTACTTATATGGGCAAATTTCCAGTTGTGTGCGATGTGGCTGTGGGCGAGCGAGGAGGGCGGCGCGGCGGCGGCGTGCGCGCCGTGCCGGGACGCCAGCACGGGCTGCCTGCTGCACCGCCACCAGTACGCAGCCGAGGTCAGCCCCGACCCTGCACGTTTTATTTTTTATTTTTGTTTTATTGCCCCTGTAGACAGACGAGCATACGGCCCACCTGATGGTGAGTGGTTACCGACGCCCATGGACTTCAGCAATGCCAGGGGCAGAGCCAAGCCGCTCATCGTCATCTCGGATCCTCCCGATACACTAACGGTGCTTTTAGGCACCGCTACGGTTTCCTCCCATGGGGGGGGGGGGGTGAAATCGACGGGGAACCTCTGGAAAGCTAACACTCATGCGTTGCTGCTTACTTGAGTCGATTGGGACGCGATGCGCCATCTGAGAGGCTCCTATCTAAGCCGTCAGGCTCGAGGAATCATGATTTGCCTTATCAGATCAAGGCTAAACCGGGAGGGTATTTATGGGATTAGAACAGCCCCATCACACTTCCCTGTGTAGAAACGGACTTCCCTGCTTTTAGGTACCCTAAACACCGGTCATCCTTCTCGTCGAACCTGTCGCTTGCGACGAAGGGCTCGGCGAGTAAATTAACCTACAGACAGCCCACTGACTTTCTCGCCAGATTTTCTCAGTGGGCCGTGTTTCCGATGCGGTGGTAAATTCTGCGCAGCACGGCTCTTGCTAGGGTTCGTGCTAGCAACAACGTCAGGTTTGAGACCCTGATATGGTCTCTCAAGACCACCAGCTTAGGTAGGAAAAAAAAAAACACCCGTATCCATAACCTATGCGCTTTCATTTAAACAGCGACTTTACGCTTTACCACATTCTATTAGATTTCGTCTGCCAGCGATGGCAACTCGATACATAATGAAGCATAATACTTTTCAGTGTTTGTTCGTGTGGGATCTAGTCAGCGGTGTGTACCGCACGGAGAGAGTCGCCATGGCCGAAGATTCGAGTCAAGAGGGATCTAGAGGTATAATATATTACAAAAATTTTAATCTTATCAACTGCCAAAATTCACATTAAATAATGGTGCTATCGCCCTGCCTATTTCTGCCGCGAAGTATGCATTTTAGCTTGAAAAACGGGATAGCTTTTGTATACACGTGTTGTGATGTCTATGGGCTCCGGTAACCATTTAATACCAGGTGAGCCGCGAGCACGTGTACCCGTATAAGCAATAAAGTATGGAAGGTCTTATCGGGAATCTCTTAGATCTCGGACGTAGGAATGTAGACAAATTCCTCCGTTCACAATTATTGGCATAATGTTCTCACTGAGAGCAAACATTAGCTTGCACCACCGGTGGCTTAGACACATAAGATGAGTAAATCTGTTGTGAGCGCGTACACAACCCGTGAAAACTTGAATTTTTATACTTTTCTCATCGAGTTTGTCTCCCAACTATCCCATAGACACAACGGATCAACTCAGTGAGTGAATAGTATTTTTTCAGGTCGCTCGCTCCCAGTCGTGGTCAAGCCAGACTAGATCCCGGGGCTCTAGACAGATAAGCTGGATTGAACAAAGGGCTTTCATGGAAATTTGAATTTCAGTTTCAGGAGCGGACCGAGCGAGGGACCTTGCCAAAAAATTAGGTCCAATCAACATGCCGCCCGGAAACGAAAACAGACTGCTGACGACGCTGACGGGTATGATCGCCACCGATACGTGTTTATGTTCAAGTATATGTCCAATGGGATGCAGGGGGAATCAAATGAAACGCCTAGAATATATTATAAATTGACAAACAATATTATTTCAGCTGAGCACGAACCATTGTCGTTTTAGAGAAAAAAAACTTGAATGATCTATTATTATGCTTGATTCTTTTTTTTTTTGCTTGGATGGGTGGACGAGCTGACAGCCCAACCGAAACGCATTACTGCTTCACGGCAGAAATATGCAGGGTGCTGGTACCTACCCGCGCGGACTCACAAAATGTCCTACCACTAGTTGATTTTAATAATGGTCATTCTGTACTCAATGTGCAACCTTGTGTGCAGGACGATCGTTGAAGAGGCTGACGGACGTAGACAACTGTATAGAGATCACGAAGAACCACCCCGATAGTTCCGAATCCGAGTCCGAGTCCGAAGAGGACAGCGACTACGACTGACTGCAGCACGGATACTCCTGAACGTTGTGCTTCTAGTGGCCGCCATCGAGATCGACAAGTCTCAACTTGGCAGCTCTGACTTTCGGAGCCCCAGGATGCCGACCGACCACATAATGCACTGGGATCTCATGGAATTTTAAATATAATAGACTTCTTGTCTTTTGTAAGAACTCACTATGATATATGTAACCACTGCTGTTGCAATACAATATTTTTGTTTTTATTATGAAAATAAACGAATATGCAGTGTCGTACGTAGATCTCGGAAATTGGGTACATATTATCTGAAAGCAATAATAATTTAGTGACACGTAGCAATGTTGATGCTCCACATCATTGAAATAATATGGTTAACACTAAGTTTAATAGGTATGGATTCCTGTATTCGCCGACTATTTTAGAGTATTATGTATTACTCAACGACAGTTGTATTTAAAAATAAATCTCGACAGTAAAGTTTTTGTGTGCGGTACATTTACTTATGGTGCTTCTTTCGGATGTATATCTTCTACGTCGTTGAGCTCTGTTTTATTTGAATGTCTCTTACTCATGTGAGTTTCGATGTTTAATTTCTTCCCTACATTAATTTAAACTAGTTCAAATGGGATTGACGAAGCCCATTTGTGTGCATTTATACGTAAATAAAATTAAGATATTTTCTTTTATCCAATGATATTAATGTTGTATAATTATTAATCGGGAAGTTGGAATGAGACCCGTGACAGTGTGTATAATTTGGTACAAATGAATATTTCAACCTGACGGTCAGTTAAAACATGCAAACAATACTTACATATTAAAAATATAATGGATATATTTATTACAATAAAACTACATCACATCACTAGATAATCTCATGAATCTGTACCAAATTATAATTGAATTTGTGACTTAGGCTCATGTAAGGTTGTGATTGTTTTTGTGTAAGTCTTTTCTATGAGAAGTGCCTCTGATATTCAATGCTCTTGTATATTTATTATTTTGTTTTTCAGTGTGTTTATTGCATTTAAGAGTTAAGTTGGATGAGTTATGCACTTTTAATGACTTGATCTTAGGCTTTGATATAGAAAATACCTCGCCTAATAGCCATACTGATATTAGATACAGCATGCTGTGAAGCAGTAATGCGTTTCGGTTTGAAGGGTGGGGCAGCCGTTGTAACTATACTGAGACCATAAAACTTATGTCTCAAGGTGGGTTGCGCATTTACGTTGTAGATGTCTATGGGCTCTAGTAATCAATTAACACCAGGTGGGCTTTGAGCTCGTCCACCTATCTAAGCAATAAAAAAAACAGCGATCAAACTGAGTCGAACTGCCTATGCCAGTAAAATTTTGATGAGGTTGTTTGGGAAATGACTCATCCATCTTACTTATTTTTGTTAGAAGCAACCCTTAGTTTCTTTTCCTTTAAAATATTCCTGAAGCTGTGGTTTAAATACAAATAGACTATGACCTTGTCTCATAGAAGTCACAGCATCACTACCACTAAATATCAGGTTGATTATGAACTTATCTAAAAAAAAATGGAATACCCATGAATGGAATGTTGGTCTGTTATAGCTTTTAACTATTATCAGTCACCACTGTGTATACAAAATATGTAAACATGATTTATTTTATGTAATTCTACTTTTTGTTTATTTCAAGAGCTTTGTGAACGTATCAAGGCACATGTGTGTAACTTGCCATGGATTGTATTATATAAATACTAGTTAGGTAATAAAATAAATAAGTCATTAATAATGTTTATTGTTTTACTTCCATCATATTAAATTGGATTATACAATAGTAGAAATGTCACTAACATGCAGTGATTTTATATAGTCAAATTCTAATCTAAATCCTAAAATAATTATGACTAAAATTACACAACAATTAAACTGAATATTTTTTCAATAAACTATTTCTACTACAAACTATACTACTCACATATAGCATAAAAATTAAAATTAAAAAGTTAATGAGATGATCATTTATTATATACTGTAATAATAATAATTATAAAACAATAACTTTTAAAGATCATTAATTAAATGAAATAAATAATTTTGTCTCCCTAATTATATTCTATATTAAATTACAATCACACAAGTTAAATTGTAATAGATCATTGAATTAGGGCATTGAATCAACTGTGAAATAAGAATATAACAATAAACTATTGATAGGCAAAGTATTTCTGAAATATTTTAGTGAGAAAAAGCTAAATATTTAAAGCTTTTTCTACAAGACGTTAAAAGAAAAGTGTGATTATAATAAAAAACTTTTTTTTAAATTCCAAATATAAAATATTTTCTAATCTCAGGTGAGATAGAATTTACATAAGGTAACAAGGTCACAAATTAAACATATCATCAATCTCGATGTCATTCTCAATGTAGGCTGGTCGCCTTATACCTCTTTCGTCCAGCAGGCAGTCATAGCAAAGTCTGTCAACTTCATCCCAGGACATTTTATCAAACTTCTCTTGAACAATCCTCAGAAGTTTGTTTGCAGTATTTGCAGCATCCTTGTCTGACATGCCTTGTCTTTTGTAATGCTTAAAGGATGCATCATAAAGTGATTCCGGTTTCTTCACAACCAAATTTAACTTAGTACCTTCTTTGATGTTAGGGTACATTTGTATAGTGTGATCATCCAGTAAAGTTCTACCAAGTAGCAGTAGTTTTTGTTGTTCGACAGGTATATGCAGCTTTCGTGCAACATGCCTTTTCAACTCTGATATGAGCATACTTGGATATATCTGAAAATAAAAAAATATTCTCAGTNGTGATTCCGGTTTCTTCACAACCAAATTTAACTTAGTACCTTCTTTGATGTTAGGGTACATTTGTATAGTGTGATCATCCAGTAAAGTTCTACCAAGTAGCAGTAGTTTTTGTTGTTCGACAGGTATATGCAGCTTTCGTGCAACATGCCTTTTCAACTCTGATATGAGCATACTTGGATATATCTGAAAATAAAAAAAATATTCTCATAGTTAAATCAACGATTTAAAGAGTAAATTTTACGCAACGCATTATGTCTCTTGAACTTACATCTATTAAACATTCACCTCCCTGCAACTGCTTAACGGTTATTTTCATTTTGGAAATAATTTTGACGGTTTTAAAGTACTGCGTAACAGAAGAATCTGGTGTTTTTAACACCTAAGACGGCGAGAGACGAGGCTCAGGTACACCACGATCTCAACAACGACTTATGATTCAAGAATCAGTTCAAAGGATGAATGAACTTAAGCTCGTGTTGTCGGTGAATATCCGAAGTTAAACCGAAATAAATGACGGAGAATAATCTCAAAGAATTAGGGTCTTTAACAACACCAGGTCTTCGTAAATCTTGAATTGAGTTTATTGATTTTTGGGTATAAAGTGTATGAACTATGATTTTTTGTTCGGACAGGCAAAGGGAACAAAGCCCATAGGTCGAATCTATTGTCACATACAGGTACCAATTTTCCTAATGAAATACGTTTTTAACTCGTGGTCACGATGGCTTCCAGGATGAAGGAAAAATATCGTGTAATAAAACTCAAACCAAATGCTGAATGATAAAATTTTGCAGATTAAAAAACATAATTTTGTATGCCGTGTGCTTATTGTGGTAGTTTTCCAATTACATCACTAGAGCGCATTATGCGGCATAATGCTCAACGTTGAATGCTCCAACTACAGCAACGTTTCGCACAATCGAGCACTCTCAAAAGTACTGCTCTCGCGTGATACTCGCAATCCATACCGACTCAGTGACAGAAAATTGACAAGTGTTTTTTCTTTAAGTTGGCATTGATCGAAATTTTGTTTAATTATCGTTAATCGTTAGTAATATTATTTAATGTTGAAAAAAAATGTAAGGCTTTCGTTTCGTCGTAGTTTCTTAGAAATAATCAATGTTAATTAAAACTGTGCTAACTTAGCGCAGTCTGCTAAGGCATTTCTTCAGCATAATTCGGCATTATGCGGCACTGAGTCGCATTATGCTCTGTAATTGGAAAACTACCTGTGCGATCAATGTATTTTTGTTTATGTAGGTGGGCGATGATGCAGTAGGTGCTGAATATATCTCAGGAGGCGATTGAAACTTTAAATGATACGATGAATTAGGGACGCTAAATAAAAATTGGTGGGTAAAGCAGTAGATAAATAATTTTCGTTGCATTTCTTTTATATGTATATTGTAGTCATAAATTTATTGTATGCATGTATTTTCTTCATGATTCTTCATGAGTAAAGGTTTGGTTTATCTCTCTCTCTTCAATCGGTCCCTCATTGCTGAGGATCGTGACTCCGTTTGATTCCGTCAACTAGCTGTCTATCGATCCCGTTTTGTAGCTTGGTGGAGTGCGTCGCTGACAGGTATTTTTAGTTCCTCCGCTATGTATTTCGTATTATATTTATATTATTATTTTTATGATAGACCTCTCCAAATATTGTATACCGCAACAAACCTGCTGTATTTTTTTCAGAAACTCTGTTGATAAAAACGGTTGCCTGGAAGATATCACTTTTAGCGATTTATTTTCTTGAACGAGATTTCAAAGTTAGTGCTTTGAAAAGTTAGTACTTTGAAATCTCGTTCCAGAAAATAACTCTTAGATAACTAATAAATACAGAGTTGTTAGTACAACTTTAATAGGAAACAAAAAATCGGTTGCAGATATCTAAACGTGGAGAATCGAGAATTTTGTTAACAAAAATGGAACCGAAAGTTAATGAATTGATATAAGCACATCAGGTTTCTTTCATGTTGTAGTAAATAAGTAATAGGTTACGTTAAAAATCACGATTTATTTGCTATATTTTTTTTAAATAAACCAGATAACTTTAGCCGTTAGTGTTTATTAGCAATAGCAAATGCTTTCGCTAAAATCGAATGCATTTCGGTAACACTTCAGTATCAGTATGACTAGTGATGTGTTGTTAAAAAAAATTCGAGCCCTACATCATTACATGTGATATTTGGTGTGCCCTAAAATTTAAAATTGGAAAGTAATTGATTTTAACAAGACTATAAACACAGTCGTAGTAGATCTTGAAAAATATTGTAAACTGTTCATTTGTTTTTTTTCATGTATCAGAGGAACGATTCTATTCAAATATACTTGTTTTGTCAGCAGCGTGTCACACTATTTTAAATTATACAAGTGAGCTCCATTATTGAAATCGATGAACATACGCAGCATGGAGTTCTAACACACTTTCTAGGCATAAGAAACAACCTGAAACAACCTTTAGTAGGTACCAGTTTCGCTTTGTCCCTGGCTTTATTAATTTTGTTGAGCGACGGCGACTAAATTTACTATCTTGTGGGATGTAAGCTTGGCTGCATACAAAGGCAATCATAAAGAAAATATTTGGCCCAAAATAACGTGCAAAGAATGCCTCTCACAGCTCCTTACATACTTTATGAACTTTATTTGAAATAATGAAATTAAATTATATTCATAGATAGTGATTGGATTCTTAGTGGAAACATAAATATGAGGCTTAAAAATTAATACCAAAAACAACGTATCAACTGGCCACATAAATTCTATGGAGGAAAAACCTTTTTAAGTCAACTAGATTAAGATTAAAAAAAAAAATGTGAATTAAATATGTACGTCAAAAAAATCAACAATTTCATTTAATTAAATAAATAAAATTAATTGCCAAGGCGACCACATATATCTATAAAAAGGTTTTTGGAAAAGCATGGAAAGGAGGTATAGAGTTATCTTAACACGAGACGTATTTGAGGTTTTAGAAAATAATTGTTCTGAAGATAATACTGAAAGATTGGAAACTTCTGAAGTTCTACCAGATTTTGAGCATCACTGCAAGCAATTATATTACCATGGTTTGTTTTTGTGATTTCTTTCAAATAAAAAGCCAAAATAACGTAATGATTTTGTAAATAAATTGAATTAAGGTAAAACTTTCGTTTGATAGATATTGCATTTCTTTTCTTGATGACAGCTTGAGAGCCAAATGGAGGAATATAGTAATTTCGATATCGATAATGAAATTCGAAACATTTCTATAATTCGTGTTTTATTTTTGTCAGCACTGCTCAGTGCTCATAATTTGGCAGGGTGTCCGTAGCCTAGGAAACGGGTGTAGCTACAGAATAACAACACTGATAAGTCATTTTCCTTATCGTGTTACATAAAAATATTTTTTTGTGTATTCATCCAAGTAAATTCTAAATGTTAAGAAAATCGTAATCACCTTTAAAGTGGCGAAATATTTAAGGAACAATGAAAATTTTGACAGTTCAAAGTATGGCTGGCAGGTATCTTTCATGTTATTTCATGAATATTTCCGAAATTTAAGCCTACCTTAAACATTACTGACGTCCAGATTTCAAGTATTAATTTTGAATATTAATTTGACGCCGAATACGAAGTTTTCACGCACCGCTAGGACGTGAGACTGAGTTCCCCTCCGTTCCTGTATCAATTTTATCAGTTTTCGAGGTGGCAGGGAGCGGAGGTGGCGCCGACTGGCACGGTGCGCGCCCTCGTTACCTGCGAATACCAAAAATATATACAACTCAAAAACATATAAATAATATCTGACAAATTTTTCCTGTTATCATTGTTATCAGACCTCTGTCCTCACAGTTTTCGTTATCGTGTTTTAAATATAATTTGAATATTGTGTAAGCTTTCATAATACTTAAGCAATTCGTATAAATAAGTCAATTAAACATCAACATTAAGCATGAAGTACAAAGAGTTGGTTATCTAGTAAATTAAAGCAATTCATTAGAGCCATATGTTCAAGAAAAACTCACAAATAGCGCACAAATTATATCTAATATCACAAATACATAATTATAAGCACAATAATAAACAGCCATGCATCATAGCACATGCACACAGTAGGTGGCACAAGCGGACCGTGACAAACCACCTGCCACCACCCCACAGCCAGTGAACACTACCCACACCACCTCTGCACTCTAAAAACTAGTCTAAAATGTCTCACATAGTAACTGGTGTTTGATCAATAATCCAACACAACGCTCAGTATCAACTGGCAACAAAGAATAGAATCATGTAATATTGTGTTAAAACAAATTGTGATTGTGAAAATGTCAGAGATGGGGTTTGAGAATGTATTTTATTTAGAAAGTGAGTTGCAGATTTATGTGTGTGTTGTTATTGAGAGTAAGGTACAGAGGGAAGGATGAGGTGTTGCCTGGATACGGTTCACGGACACTCCGCCCGTGCTCCCTCCAGATCAATAACATCTCATCGCTCCGGGACTTTGTTATGCAATATGTTAACATCATATTTTTTACAGCATGGACATTTTTGTTATATAGAGTAATTTTAAATATGATGTGTCAATTTAGTTTTAATATAGCTCAATTTCATAGGTCCATTAGAATGTTTTAGATTTTTTCATATAACAGTTATCCATCATTTCAGTTATAAATAATTACATAAATCTACATAAACATTGAAGCTGTTGTTGTATTTTATTTTATTAATGATTAAAACATCTTAATACAGTTATGATAAAATAAATGGCCAAAGTAAAAACTTTTGATTAATAGTAAAAGAGAAATAAGATATTGAATGACATCTCATTATGATCATATATAAATATATAAAGACAATAAAAGGAAAATAAAATGTAATATAATTGTATTCCCTTTAAACTGCATATTAAAGAACAATTTTAGAAAATACACGTAGAAGTTTAGAAATAGTGTGACTATATATGGGGGATAATAAATACAATTAGAATTGAACAATACTGATGTAAGGCTTCCCAAATTAAATGCAGGTAACAAACTTGAGGGTGGATTTCCACTCTACAGTTATTATTATTAAATACTCTTCCACTAGAATCCTATGTGTTTTGATATAGATATGAATTGTTATAACTGAAATATGTTCATTTAATCTGTATCATTCAACTTTGGACCCAATCAGAACTGAAATGGAATTTCAAAGTATTTTTATGATGAAATATTTTTAGTCTAATTTAGAACAGTGACATTCAAATGATAATAAAATTTTTGCAGATAAATTAGTCCTAATTTTATCAGTACAGGAATAAATTAATTTTTTTTATGAGTTTTGAAACTATGAATTTGTGAAAGTTAAATGCATTATTGTGCTGTTGCGAAAACTATTTTGTAAGTTATGGAATGGTGTTAGTCTTTTATTTCTATAGTAATTACCGATAAGTGTTATTGTTAATAGCTTAAGAGAAATTGAAGTTTTCTGTTTCAGACTTCTTTGTTATTATAATTTTTTGCATATAGTTATTATTGTGTGTAATTTATATATTTCAGATTTTGAGTGCGCCGGCGACGAGGTGCTCGTGGAATCGTCGCCGCCTCCATCGCCAGGCATGGCGGCGAGTCTAGCGGCGCCCACACAGGTCACCATTCCTTAAATCAAAGATATCCTCTTTTTTGTAAATTAATTTCAGGGATGAGTCTTCAAATTAAAGGGTTCCTTGAATTTTAGAACATACACTCTAAAAGTGTAAGTTTTTTATAATAATTGCTCTCGGACGTACTTACCTCCGGATCCCATAGACATCGTAACTCCAATTCGGTAGTAGATGCATTCACGAAGCAGCTGCCCTCGAGCTGTCAGGTCTCCTTCGGTGGCGCTCGGACAGCTATTAGCAAATCCCATCTGGCTGAACTGTCCCACCTGTCCTGGTAAAATGGTAAAAGCTTTCGGGGCACCCGTAATCATTCCAAACTGGCAGTGCGAGAGACTCTGACAAGATTGTGTCTCATCACTCGTTTAAAGCACAAGTCATAGCGTTCAGGAAACAGAAGTGAAGTTGTTACTCACTGTAGCTGGATGGATGGTGCGAGGAAAAAATGATCTCTAGAAACGCGTCGATGAATGCAGTGATTTTAGATAGTAGGGATTAACTTAACTTTGGAGGTAATAAAGTGTAGGTGAAATATTCATGCAACCTTTCGCCTCGTCTGGAGTATCCGGTAGATATAAGGAGCAGAGAGCACCAATGCGTCTCGATAAATCTAAAAGTTTCAATTAATTCGCGTAATTAAATTCCGACTAATGGCCATTCAGTCTACTTCTGTCTCAAATATCTTGAGCACTTAAGTCCTAAGCTTCTATCGTTTCTTCTGCACCAAGGAGACTCTCATCCGGGAGAAATTTTGAAAGAAAAATAATTTCCGGTATCGGAGGAGAGGCCACCAACACCTTTGTCCAAAATGCTAGCATCGGTGCGAGTTTTAACCCAGGGCCGCTGCCTTGAATTCCACTGCGGGGCTATCTCTTTTTGGACGTATACGACAAAGAGAAGATCTTCCACCGAGCGGGTGATATTTGCTCGGTAGACCGACGGTCCGAATGTTGTTGTTCGGAACTTTTATATATGCAAGCTTATCTTGAAAATGTCGTAAGCGAGATTCAGGCATCTGTCAAATATCTTGCGTTGTATGATGGTTACCCGCCACAGCTTAAAACGCTTTTCGTTCACATCGATACGTTCTATATTGTATTTTTTTTTATAAAACAGGGCAACGGCGCCGGCAACACTTCGCCCTCGGCGGTACGCGAACTCATCGTTATACCGGAGATACCGAATTCTATACAACTACAGCATGCTATGCAACAGGTATCTAATTGATTGATAACATTTCGATATCACTGCATATGATTACTAAGTCATTTTTAGTACGAACACGATAGGGGTCTTAATAATGGTCTGGTTTATATGGTTATTAAGTAGAATCATTCGTCTATTGTAGCGTGGAGATACCTATTTTCATATGGAACTCCTGTATACTCAACACACTATTTCCATTTTAGTTTCTGGTGGGTGAGGTTATTACATGTCTGGGCGGATAAGAATCATCCTACCCATTCCTGTTACAAAGCAAGCATTTAAAAATGGGCCAATCGTAAAATTAAGATTCTAATCTTAGGTCTCAAGATAAGAAGCGGCACTCGCGTTCTGGTTTCATGAGCTATGGCGACCGCTTAAGGGGTGAGACCAGTAGGTCGATAGCTCGTCTGGGAAACACCAAATTAGCCTGAGTTTTGAGAATTATGTAAATCGCCTTCGTTATCGAGAACGGGAGAACATATCAACTTTATAGAACGGGATTCCTTAAATAAATGGAAAACGTCTTCTGCGGTCTTTCAATCGGTTCATATAGACCTTATTGGGAACATATGATTGGGAATACCAAAGGGGACATTTGTATACACGTATTACTCTATTTATTTATTTATTGCTTAGGTGGGTGGACGAGCTCACAGCCCACCTGGTGTTAAGTGGTTATTGGAGCCCATAAACATCTACAACATAAATGCTGTCACCCACCTTGAGATATAAGTTCTAAGGTCTCAGTATAGTTACACATTACATTAGTGCTTCACGGCAGAAATAGGCGGGGTGGTGGTACCCACCCGCGCGGACTCACAAGAGCTCCTACCACCAGTAAATATTGTTTCATTTAAATTGACAAACAAAGTAAACAAATAGGGGTATTGGATGCCGCATTCGTTGACCGTTGTGACCTCGTTGTGACCACCTGTAAGTAAATGTATATAAATAGTTAACGTGACAGTATTTTTTATTTAAAATTCAGGTGTCGAACACTTTGGTGGAGGTGAAAGGGGATAGCTCGGGGCAGTCCAGTCCATCTGTGGACGCCCAACACACGTACATCACCGTTGCCAGTGAGTTTATATAGATTTTACGACGTTTAAACATTGTAATTGCAACTCATCATCATTCTCCTGCCCTTCTCCCAGTCACCTTTGGTCGGCGCAACATCATTTCTCCTTTCATACTCCTCTATCATATATCCTTTCTTCGCTCATTCCCCAACCCCCAGACACAGTCCACTGAGTTTCTCGCCGGATCTTCCCAGTGAGTCGCGTTGCCGATCCGGTGGTAGATTCTGCAAAGCACGGCTCTTGCTAGGATTCGTGTTAGCAACGTCGTTAGGTTTGAGCCCCGTGAGCTCACCTACTAGTTAAGCCTATGCTGATATAGCCTCTCAAGGCTCTCAGCTTAGGTAAGAAAAAGAAAAAAATCACTACTTTTGGAAGTCGTCGTGGCCTAAAGGATAAGACGTCCGGTGCATTCGTTGTTGCGATGCACCGGTGTTCGAATCCCGCAGGCGGGTACCAATTTTTCGAATGAAATACGTACTTAACAAATGTTCACGATTGACTTCCACGGTGAAGGAATAACATCGTGTAATAAAAATCAAACCCGCAAAATTATAATTTGCGTAATCACTGGTGGTAGGACCTATTGTGAGTCCGCACGGGTAGGTACCACCGCCCTGCCTATTTCTGCCGTGAAGCAGTAATGCGTTTCGGTTTGAAGGGTGGGGTAGCCGTTGTAACTATACTGAGACCTTAGAACTTATATCTCAAGGTGGGTGGCGCATTTACGTTGTAGATGTCTATGGGCTCCAGTAACTACTTAACACCAGGTGGGCTGTGAGCTCGTCCACCCATTTAAGCAATAAAAAAAAAAAAAAAAAAAAAAAAAAACATACCGTCTTTCACGCAATCTTATCCATTTCTTCTTACGTGTACCTCTTCCTCTAAAGCCTTACACATTCATAGATAAAACTCTCATAAAAACCTCATTGTCATTTCGTCTCATACCATCCCAAACGCGCGCTTCTCATCTTCTCTGTCACAGGTGCCACTTTCAGACTTCTTCTAACATTGTAATTGCAACTATTGCCATTAAATTAGAATGGTAATTGCTGTTTGTGAACAGAATGTATTTTTCAAATGAACAGTGAGCGATTGTTGAACGAATGCTATTGTTGTTTGTTTTGCACAAGTGATTTTGGTTGTAATGAGTTTTGCACATGCAAGGGTCGTGGACTGGTCGGTATCCAGAAGCAACGGTAAAAGCCGAGGAGCACAGTGATGAAAGCAAGTCCTTTAATATTTCTTAATTCGATACGGTGTTGCCAACCTTCTAACCTTACTAATAGTAGTGGGCTCGGGGTTTATACAATAAAAAAATAATTACCTTAAACAGATCATAACATAAATGTAACTTGTTTAAGACAAACTCCATTATTTTGTTTTTTGAGTCTTTTTGCTTCACAATTAGCCTATTGATATTGTAACTAATACTTGAATTTGAAGCTTCCTGTTTTCGGTGTACAGATAATTAAAAGAAAAACCAATAACAAAAACGTTTTTTTTTTTTAATATTTCGCTTTTAATCATACCGCATATTAAAACCTTTTTAGTCGTCTTAAAGACAATTCTGCCTACTAACAAACATTTAGGATTAAATTTACAAGATGCTTACCATAATGTAATAACTATTTAGTTTTATATTCGCGAAAACCCTTTGCATTTTTTAAACTTCGTGTGCAAAAAAAGATTTATAAATATGGTTTTGTCAAATCTGATCCGATCTTCAAATGTTAAAGTCGAATATTTTACCCACGCTCCTCGCTTTCCGCTACACACGGATTACGTAACAATATGTCCCCAATATCTATTCTAATACAAAAAGATCAAAGACTGGCAACACAATAGGTTGCGCCGAACACGTCTAGTTGTTCGGCCATCAACTCGGACTTTGCTCTCGTGACGTATAATCTGATTATCTTCTTCACCTGTTTGAAATATCAAACGTGCCCATTATATTTAAAATATATTATTTAGCGACGTCTGTATTTATCTCACGAAAATATGAAATGTAGCTTGCGTTTATTGTGGCGGCAGCTATCATACAACGCAAGATATTTGACAGATGCCTGAATCTCGCTTACGACATTTTCATGACAAGCTTGCATATACTTATACTAGTTCCGAACAACAAAATTCGGACCGTCAGTGCCCACTGAGGTTCCCGCCGGATCTTCTCAGTGGGTCGCGTTTCCGATCCGGTGGTAGATTCTGCGAAGCACTGCTCTTGCTAGGGCTAGTGTTAGCAACGGCGTCAGGTTTAAGCCCCATGAGCTCACCCACTTGTAAGGATTATGCTGAAATGGTCTCTCAAGACCATCAGCATAGGTAGGAAAAAAAAATTAAAAAAATCGGCCCTTCGCTCTACCGAGCAGAATCAAACCGCTCGGTGGAAGAGCTTCCTTACATCGTTATTCCCAAAGTACAATTCAATTCGTTTCGTATACAAGATATGTTTTTGATCCTCTCGATCCACCTTCGGTGCTTTTAGGAATCCAAGTCCTGGTGACGGTTCTATGTGGAACACGTTACGTGCCTATGTTTTGCGTGGCCCATAGACACAATTCACTAAGTTTCTCGCCAGATTTCCTCAGTTTTTCACGATTCCGATCCGGTGGTAAATTTAGCGAAGCACTGCTCTTCTTAGGGTAGATGTTAGCAATTTTTTTTAGGATAAGCCCTGTCAGGTCGCTCACTATGTGATGTCTAGCTTCCCCCTGAGGCGACACGGAGTTAGGAAAGAGAAGCACACAAAAAAAGCACATAGGTACCCACATTCGTAATTTGTGTTCAAGTATGAAAACTATATCTGTTATCTGTAAAGCGTCTTTGTTCCGGTGTTTGCCTTTATATAACCTTAATTTACACGTTCAATAGATATAAATATTACTTTAACTCTCCCACAAGCCACTAATCACTTTTATTTTTATTCTCATACCCCTTTGAGTTTTCTTCAAATAAATAACCGGTGATCTCGAACTCGATTTTTCTATTTCTTTAAATTGCCGTCGTTTCATTACGGATTATATATTTTCCAATAGTTATTTAATTATAAATAATATTTATTAAGTACTAAATATAAATAATGAAACGAACTATGTATGTTATTAAAATTTTAGCCCAAAAATCCTACCAATGTTGACCAACGCTACCGATCGATTATCGTCTGATTAGAGCTCTGAGAGTTCATCTAGTTGCTTGTTTGATCTGACATAACTCGATAGGTTACTAGAAAATGTAGGAAAATAATAATAATAGATTGAAACAAGAAACAAGAACAAATTAAATCGTATTAAATTACCGATCTCTTCCCCAACACAGTTCGAACATAATCTTTGAAGCTTTTCCATAAAGTTTATTGGAAAAAATGCAATAATAGGGGATAATTGCGATGTGCCCCGTCGGATTATCTACCTGAGCGATCACTCGGTGATGGGGCGTTGTCAAGGGGTTGTTTATTGTCTGACGTGCACCTGTGATACGATATAGGCCGCGTGGCGCGCGTACGCACCTCCCTGATGAGTTTAATGACTGGTGTTCCACTGGGTTTTTTTTTCGTGTAAATTTGGATATCACGTTACATTATTAAAAATATGTTCTTTGTAGGATAGTCTTAATAGTCTACAGACCCCGCTGAGTTTCTCGTCGGATCTTCTCAGTGGGTCGCGATTACGGTCCGGTAGTAGATTCATTCGCGAAGCAGCTACTCTTGAGTTGTTAGGTCTCCTTTGGAGGCGCTCGGGCAGCTGTTAGCAAATACCACCTCCCCTGGTTGAGCCCTTGTTTGTCCACCTGGCCTGGTAAAACTGGAAAGGCCTCCGGGCCACTAGTAATCTCTCAAACATAAATAAAAAATCTACAATAAAGCGCGAGATAAGTGTGAACTAAAATAATATATTTTCATCTTCAAATGAATCTATATCTATAAAATTGCGCGGACGGAGGAGTATGAAATTTTCCGCACTTTAGAGAATATAGAGAAGAAGTGGGGAATGCTAATATTTTTTTAAAATTATGGATTACAAATACATTAAATCAATAAAGAAAACATTACACATCCTACCATGTATTTGACACACACAATTATATTCTTTGTTTATTGTCAAACTTTTGTTATTGCTTAAAGTCTGTAGTCAAATTGAGAATAGGTTAATATTGTTTATCTTTAATATTACGAGTATTTGTCTATAGTGTAGTCTCAGCGAAATCTGTAACAATTGAACCATAATAATGTTGAAACTTATAATTTCAATTAATTATAGTCGAATTTGGACTACTGCGGGTATAAATAAATTTGAAATGACATCAGAAGGGTTATAACATTCGTACGAATCGACATAGTTACTAAAAATACGGTTTTAATCTTTTGTTTATTTTTGTATTTATTTCTACTTGTATTTAAAACGTTGGATATCGTAAGGGTATGATTGAATTGTTTTATATGAAAAGCTGTTTTGGCGGTCATCGAACCCAAACGAAACCCATGAATGGTTTGCAACAGAAATGAGCACCACAGTGGAACACGTATATATTACTGTAAATTATGGTAGAACCAACCCAAATGGGATCACGGTAGACTCTAGCTACTAGTAAAAACTGCATACTGCCACTTAAATAAGTCAGCTAAAACAATTTGCATGTTAATAAAGTTAATGAAGAAGTCAAATAATTATTGATGCTGGTTACTTTTGGTGTTGCGCGGACTGTCTCGGGCGTGGATACCTATTTTATTACCTTATGATTTATTGGGCCGTTTCAATTGTATGAGATGAAATTCATATGAAAATTCAGTTTTCTCTCTTACGCATTTTATTGTCGTACGAAGGAAAAATAAATTGTCGTTTTTAGTATTTTAATAAAAGAAAAGTACATAAAATTTTTTTTTGGAGCCTTATTAATAATTTGTTTTAGTAAGGGTGTACGGATAATGTTATTTGTGAAAATAAATAAATAAATAGTGAACTTAATAAATAAAATAAAAGCCTCAACAATATTTTTATTAATATATTTCTAATAATATTTCTTTACAAGCGTCAAGCAGATTTATTAGGTATTTTAAAAATAAATGTTCATATTTTAACATATTTTTTGAAAACTTATTTTTGTTATAAGAACAGAGGCGATTTTTTTAACTTATTTAACATTTAACATTTATATATTTAACAGTTATATTATTAAAACAATAATATAATAACAGTCGTTTTGACTTTTTGATCTAATAAATAACGTTTCTAATAATCTACTATCAAACAAAATAAAAAATAATTAGTATAACAATAAAATTTATTTATTCGCCTGTCTGTGTTTATCAATAAACAAACGGTTTTTTTTTTCTACAAAAGGCAACGTAATTATATTGGTTCGGCTTCGTTTCAAATTATAGTATAGTCTGTGCAGCACACGCTCAGCATTGTATAGAATTAACAGTATAGTATAATCAGAAATTTCAATTAAACTAACAAGCATAGTAACAAGTCGAAAATCACTTTGTAGGGATAAGGGATAAATCCATAGCAACACGGGGGGAAAGTTAAAACGGTCAAAACAGGTGGGATACATGGACGGGTACTGCAGGTGGGAATTATTAACGAATAAAATAATGAACAAGTATTGGCATTATTGCAAGTATTGGCTTCTTTGATTTTTATAAAGAAATAAATATTTACACATTTTTATATCTCATGTTTCCTCGATATATTTTTTCAAATTATAGAGATATAAATATTTACACTATTATTTATTAATTAATTAATTTCGTCGTTCATAGTCACTAAGAAATGGTTGAGTTCGAATGCTATGATGTGGGAAGGAGAAAGAAAACTATATTTTTAGATGATTTCAGTATAGATATTATTATAAGGCGATGTTTGTATTCTACTGAAATCTCAAATCAAAACTTGATGGTCTTCGATTGAATTTGTAATATGTTCATAGCTCATTCTGTTTTTTGTTGGTGTTTAAAATGTCATAGCTTTAATTGCAAAAACATTGAGAATAATCAACCTTTCTAACTTTTTAACTATATGCGCTTGATATTGGAACTGAAAAATGGTGAAAGCCTACAATCGCGATTCCCAGTAAATATAAACAATTGCGACCCTCCCAAATTACCTTCCCTTATGTATTCGTGAAGCGTACATACTCTGCGTAATTCGCACAAAAGAGCGTATCGCGTGAGGGAGACGGCGCGAGTTCAGTCGAAGATAGACGCCTCTGCTCTCCGGGTAGCGGCGGCCCGGAGTTGCCTGGGAGATCTCCAGCGACATGGAGGTGCCGAGATACCGTTCCTTCTACCCCTGTGAGTGAACCCTCCTCAAGGTTACATCATTGTACCTTCGAGGCGATAGACGCTTGTATCATTTTTCTCCTCGTGTAACCTTTTCAAGAGAATAACATATTTTTTGATTTTGATTTTTAAAATTGATTAATAACATTGAAATTTTTGTCGTAAAGTCAATGATAATTTAGTAATGGAATTCGAAAAAAACACCACCATGGAATACAGTGCATTCTAGTAATTATAAAAAGAATTTTTAATAATCATATTTCCGATGTCGGCTAGGTTTTAATTTTATTCTTTGTATTACTAATGCTTTTTGAGAATGGTGTGTCAATAAACTAAACTAAAACAAGGTTTCTACTTAAAAACTAACGGAGCTAAATAATATCTGTGCTTTTTAGCTTGCGGGTGAAGACATTCAATCTTAATATAAAAACTAGTTAATTAAATGAACAATTTTTTTTTTAATTCCAGGCGAGGGGGGCAATGGAACCAACTACCACGTACAGTACGTCACGGAGCCACAAGAGATATACACACAAGGGAATCAAACGCATATGTAAGTGAAGCAATTCTATACCGATTTCATAATAACATTGTATGTTTGAGTGATTGTTACCGAAGGCCTGAATGAAATTCCGTGAAAATCAGTGATTTTACGTAACGACCGGTGTAAAAAAATCTCTTAAATTACAAAATTGAAGATTTCCCTGGCGATGGGCGTATCTCAAGTCCGTGCTCTGTGCCCTCGCCCTATTTATTTTTGCCGCGAATGTTTTTGTGTTCCATTAAAGTACAGCCGAGACTTTAGTCTCGTGATGAGCAGCTTTATTGACCTTGTCAGCAGGTTGATAATGATGTTGTCTACGTAGGGCAAAAAATACTCTAAAGCTGTCAGGCAGTGTTACTGTTAGAACTGCATGTAACCGCTTCCGAAGCTGACAAGCGAATAATGTTCTCTATTTGCACGCTGATGAAGGACTGAACGAAAGCGGATAGTTTGTTCCACTTGGTGTTTTGTTTAATGACCACTGATTGATTTATCAGTCAGTATAAGTGTTTTTTTTTATTGCTTACTGATAACTGCTAACTGATACTGCACGGGTAGGTACCACCACCACCCCGCCTATTTCTGCCGTGAAGCAGTAACGCGTTTCGGTTTGAAGGGCGGGGCAGCCGTTGTAACTATACTGAGACCTTAGAACTTATATCTCAGGTGGGTGGCGCATTTACATTGTAGAAGTCTATGGGCTCCAGTAACCACTTAACACCAGGTGGGCTGTGAGCTCGTCCAGCCATATAAGCAATATATAAAAGCTTCGTGTATCAGGGAGGAGCTACGTACGTACCCGGTGTACGGAGTCGCCACCGTCGCGAACCCGGCCCCGGCCGAGGGCACGTCGTTCGACAGCAACTGGGGCGGAGCCTCCTCGGCCGAATACTCCGCTTATGGCATCGTTGTAAGTACAACGGTATACCGATTCTTCGAACTAAATTTCTTTGGTCGAGTTCCGAAGGTTCGGTCACTACAGTTCGTAAACTATAAGATGACACACATGACAGATGAATAATACCTCGAGGAATTGTTCGAGATTATTCCATGATCTCGTTTTTACTATTGCTCTAGTCGCCGACGGGGCGTAGGTTAAACACGCTATCTAGAGCCACTGTGTTCATCGAGATTGCGTTCCCACAGATCCCTTCTGACATCCGGATTTAGATTTAATTTCCCTCGTCGGTGTTTTTTGAGCTCTATGACATGTCTTTCTTCAAACGAGGTTTACGGGGAATTATCCTTGTGGGCAGACGATCTTACGACCCTGATGGTGAGTGGTTACCGTCACCCATGGACTTCAGCAATGCCAGGGGCAGAGCCAAGCCGCTGCCAAATCAATATATATCTCGCCCGGTCTTAACTGTCAGTCACCGGACCCCACAGACAGCGCAAGACTACTACTAGATTGTAGTCTCATTGTGTGGTTGTGTGTGCGAGGTGGCCGGCGACGAGGCGGAGGCGCCGTCGTCCCCCGCGACCCCCGGCGCCCCCCGCATGCCCCCCGCCACCGTGCAGTGGCTGCTGGACCACTACGAGACCGCGGACGGTAATCACCACACACTTTCCTGCACTACTTATTCAGTTCAGCTTTAGTTCAGTACTCAGTTCAGCTTATTCAGTTCAGTTCAGCTTTAGATGTTGATTAGATGTTAAATATACATACATATAAGTCACAGCCCACTGAATTTCTCGCCGGGTCTTCTCAGTGGGTCGCGTTTCCGATTCGGTGGAAGATTCTGCGAAGCACTGGTCTTGCTAGGGCCAGTGTTAGCAATACTTCCGGTTTGAGCCCCGAGAGCTCACCTACACGCTAGGGTAAAGCTGAAATAGCCTCTCCAGGCTATCAGCTTAGGTAGGAAAATAAAAAATATATATAAAACTTGGTCGGTCTTACCAACAGTAACACCCGCTCGGTGGAAGATCTTCCTTTTGTCGCTCATCGAAGTATGCATGCTAATTGCGTTTCTTGGAAATGCCATTAGTATGATTCACTACTACGACTACTACTATGTGAACAGGCGTGTCCCTGCCCCGCTCGAGCCTGTACGCGCACTACCTGCGGCACTGCACCTCGCACCGCCTGGAGCCGGTCAACGCGGCATCGTTCGGCAAGCTCATCCGCTCGGTGTTCGTGGGGCTGCGCACCAGGCGGCTCGGCACGCGCGGCAACTCCAAGTACCACTACTACGGCATCCGCGCCAAGCCGCACGCCGCCGCCGACACCAGCGCCGACACCGCCGCCGCCGACAAGACCGACCTCTACGACGCACAGGTATCCGTGCCTGTAATGCCTTGGAGTATAGCGCGGCTCTTGCTACTTTCAATTGCTTAAACAAATGAATAAAGTGATATTACCAAATATGTACCTAAAATAAATTGGGTTGTTCTTAATCTGTACAAATAATATTAATGGAAAGAAATGTGAGACATCTTTATTATTGTTCGGGATAAATAAAAATTCTACCGAAGCATAACTTAAAACTGTATTCAACACTTAAAACACTTAACGACCACTTTAAAATTTATAAATCACTTCTTCCGCTTCGTGTGCTTCCGCTTCCGCAACCATTCAGGTGATTCGTTCGCTGTTTCGCTTCGAGTAGCTCCGATTACTAACTGATTTCGTATCGTCTCTGCAACGCTTTTATAGTCGATACGACATCCCTAGGCTTATCGAGAACATTCTGGGCAAGTCGAATAGCTTCGATGTGTGTTTCTGTTATCAGACAATAGATGGCGTTGTACTTCTCGATTTTATTAGTATATTCGGTATTCATTCAGCTATTCGGTGAGACTCTGGCGTTACTCTTACCGGCGTAACAATATTGTCACATGTGCTGAGAAAGTGGTGAAAGCGTTGCCTTGTATAGTAGTACTAAAATAACAGTAGAAAATCCACAATGCAAAGAATAGCCAATTAGCTAATTTTATTGAGTTCTAGCGGCTCTCAGCGACAGCACTAACGTATGAGTATTCATTACTATTTCGCCCTTATATACATTTGAACATACAAACATTTTGATAGTCGAACTGAAGGTATACGTGTATATATTCTATCAACCTTTACCAAACTATACCTCATTAATCTGTTAAACGTAGTTGGACAGGTAACCTCCAGTAAACTGTTTGTATATTTACCATATTATTATGTACCCCAAAGACGGATTTCCCCCGGGTCACTTTAAAAAAAATATCGCGTTTGTAAATCTCGCGACACATTCGACAGGGGCATGTTAACACGTCATTAAGGATCCTCCCGACCCATTAACGGTGCTTTTAGATACCTCAAGCACTTAAGGGACGAGTAAACCCATAAACACAGTCTACTGAATTTCCTCGTCAGATCTTCTCAGTGGGTCGGGTTTCCGATCCGGTAGTAGATTGTGCGAAGCACTGCTCTTGCTAGGGCCAGGGTTAGCAACACATCCGGTTTGAGCCCCGACAGCTCATCTACACGCTAGGGTAACGCTGAAATAGCCTCTCAAGACTATCAGCATAGGTAGGGAAAAAAGGGAGCATGTGACACGGCGGCTGAGAGCCGCTCTTCTATTACTAAACTTTATAGTTATTTACAGACGTAATTTTACGGGTATTTAGTTTATATTGTGATAAGTATGACTACTACTTATTCCGGAAATGTTAGTGCTCTCCCTCCTCCTTGCGTCGATAATCCTCAATGCTGAGGGTCGTGGCCTCATGAGGCTGTCTTGGGAAAATAAAGGTGGTGGGTACCCGCGTCCTTCCACGGCAGTGCTTTTGGAAGAGATTTAGTTCTTCGAGGTCGCTGAAGCCTTATCTGGGTCCGGCTAATTGACCCCAGACATACGGCGTTGACTGTTTTACGGTGGAAACGGTCGAATTCCAACTCAACCCTCCTCTTTTCTCATTCGGGCTTGGGAGCGGCATTGGCAGAGGTTACTCTAAACGGCAGTAAATTGAGTTCAAGAATTCAAATTTCAGGAAGGTAGGGCGCGTTCAAGCGAGCGCGAGACCGCGTCTAGTCCGGTGGGAATCAGCGGGGTGGCGCACCGGCAGTACCTGGGGACCGTGACCGCGCCCGACCCCCCCGAGCTGCTGCTGGACGAGCTGCCCGACGACGTGCCGCCCTCCGCCCTCCCCGCGCTGCGGAAACATCACAGGTCAGACACGACTTTTGGCCTTCTTGTAATTTATATAACCATTTTATTTGATATATTATTATGCACTTTCGACTCGTCGACGAGCCTTACACTACTGTAGGTTTTGGTTTGTTTCGGAACAATACAGTCGTTTGGTCTTAAATTATGTTGGTCGATTAATAGTTTGTAACTATTGGATACGTCCCAAGAGAAGCTTGGGAAGCTATAACATAGCTGCCATTTACCGTCCGGGGGGAGGGTAGCGGGGGCGCTCCCCTGTCCCTGCCAGTCGCGCGTGAGTTCCGTTTCATCCGGCAGAAACAGGCAAGGACTAAACAAAGTCCTGGTGTTAAGTAGTTAGATAGACATCACAGCATGAATGCCCAATATTGTCTTGAATAATTTAATTGAAAATATCACACGTCGCGGGTGTTATTGTTGAAAACGTATTCTCTTACAACATATTGCTAGTTTAGATAGGTATGTAAAATATGGTTAGAACTCGTGCAGAGAGCACGGGAGCTCGTTCCTGGAGGCGGTGGCGGCGCTGGACACGAGCGGCGTGGAGCGCACGCGCCGCTCGTTCTGGCGGGGCGCGGCGGGGGGGGACGCGGGCGCGCTGTGTCGCCGCACGCTGCTGGCGCTGGCGGCGCGCCGGGACGTGGCGCGGTGGCTGCGCAGCGCCGACCTGCTGCTGTACCAGCGCGCCGTCGACCTGCTGCTGCCCGACGTGCTGCGCCCCATCCCGCCGCAGCTCACGCAAGCCATCCGCAACTTTGCCAAGACTCTCGAGTCGGCTCTGGCGGGCGCCTCCAACGGAGCTCCGCCGGCCGCCAGTCGGGCGCAGGCCGCCGCCGCCGCCGCGCTGGCCGCTGCCCTGCGGCGCTACACCTCACTCAACCACTTAGCGCAGGCCGCCAGAGCCGTGCTCACTAATCATCATCAAATCCACCAGGTGAGATGTAACATTTAAATCACTTTGTAAATGTAAAGTTTGACATAATGTAAAGTTATATATGGGAATAGTTATAGTAAATGTTGCGTTTTGTAGTATATAAACGTAAAGGAGCTTCCCGAAAATATTCCGGTCCCGACGACTGAGCGCAGAGTTTGTTTTGCAGATGGTGTTGGACCTCAACCGTGTGGACTTCCGCGTGGTGCGCGAGCAGGCGGCGTGGGCCTGCGCCTGCGCGGCCGCCCCGCACGCGCTGCGCCTCGAGACGGATTTCAAGGTAAGTGGTCGCGGGGTGCGCGGCGGGGGTGGGCGTGCGCTGACCCGGCACTGGGTGTTGTAGGCCACGCTGTGCCGCGGCGCGTCGCTGGAGCAGTGGGCGGCGTGGCTGGAGGGCTGCGTGGGCGCGGCGCTGCTGCCGCACGAGGCGCGACCAGGCTACACGCGCCGCGCGCGCCGGCTGCTGCTGCACTGGTCCTTCTACTCCTCGCTCGTCATCAGGGAGCTCACGCTCAGGTGCGCCGGCGGGCAGCTGTACACGTGTACACGTGTGACGTGTGACCGGAGCTGTTCGCATTAAGTAAAGCTGTTGGGGCGCAGGTCGGCGGCGTCGTTCGGCTCGTTCCACCTGCTGCGGCTGCTGTACGACGAGTACGTGTCGTACCTGGTGGAGCGTCGCGTGGCCGCGCACCGCGCCGCGCCGCCCATCGCCGTCATGCAGCGCGCACTCGTAACTATCATATACTACTTCTGTTTACTCGTAACTCTATCAGAATGAAAATTAGATAATTCAAATTTTCGTTTGTGCATTCGTAATCCTAGGATCTAATCAACATGATGACCGCTTATGAATATCAAAAAACTAATTTTTGAAGTTATGCTTCTTTAGGCGGTGTTATGAAAAATTGATGAGAGTGAAATTTTACGATGCTCGCGCACCGTGACACAAAATTAACAGAATGAAGTTGCCCACTAAATCGATCATTACAATACGACCGACGTAAGTTGGCGAGTCTGAATATAGCCGCAGGTGAACTTTCCGAACCGTACCGAGAATTACCGAATTTATACGAAGTCAAGAAATGTCCAATATGCGTGTTTGAGGATGTTGTTTAATCGATTCTTTTTCAAATTGATTAAAATTTAAATAAAAAAAAAGAAATAAATTTAATAAAAATAAAGTATAAGTTCTTACACGCGTATAACCAAATATTAATCCATAGACAAAAGTGACCGAATTTGAAAATAGAATTCCAAATTTTTTTAATAAAATTAATTTGAATTTAGCATGCATTCAGGAGCATGCATGCATGCATGCAGGAATGCATTCCCAATCATACATAAATAACGTTAGAAATGGTCAGTATTGTAAAATGGCTACCTCATAAGTAAATCTTGTAGACTAAACATTTAAATTTGGAATGTCCGGTCGACTTAGTCCGCGACCAGCTGACGCGACACTAGCGCCACACGTTATCTCGGCGAGTACGACATCACAGTGCGTTTCCAGAGATTTTTTTTTGCCACGTACCATCCGGCTATGGAATGAGCTACCCTCCACGGTGCTTCCTGAGCGCTATGACATGTCCTTCTTTAAACGGGGCTTGTGGAGAATACTTAACAATAATCAGCGGCTAGTATGCCCGTATGACAACAGGGGCAATTAAAAAAAATATGTAGATCCGACTTTGTGCCTCTGTTGTCTGGAGACTTCACGTTGCGCAGGACGACGACGACGACGTGGCAGAGGACAACTCTCGCGGCGACGGCGACGACGACAACCCGGACTGGGAGTGGGACGACGAGGACGAGGAGGACGACGAGCCTCTCGACAACAAGAAGCACAAACTCAACGACTGAGCTCAAGGTAATCTGCGCCTTACGAGCGGTAGTCTCAAAGACGATAGTTGCCAATCATAATTTATTATGTTTTGCATAAGATTAACGTTACAAGTGGAGGCATCAAACTAGGATTCTCTGTACTATGGGATCTCAAACAAAGAGCAAACATCCTTGTTTATGGTAATTGAACCCGCGATCTTCGTCCCAGAATAAATCAAGAGGACACGGTCATTATCTGATCCCGTCCAGCTATTACTACCGCTTCACAATCCACTCGACATCAAAGGTTTTTGTGTTTCTCTTGGAATCTCGAACTTAAGACTATACAATTTTAAATGAATTATGTAAATAAACACTATTGACCAACACATTCTCAATTTACTACCCTATTTTGAATACTGGTGTTAGGTGATAACACCGTTGTCTGTAACATCTGGTGATATATGGTCACGAGATGATGGAGAGGTTGTTGGACGGGTTCAGGTCGCACCCTGCCCCCCCCCCTCTCCGCCCGCGTCCCGCGCACGGCCCCCCTACTATATGTACATTTTTTTCTTAGATGGGTGGACGAGCTCACAGCTCACCTGGTGTTAAGTGGTTACTGGAGCCCATAGACTTCTACAACGTAAATGCGCCACCCACCTTGAGATATAAGTTCTAAAGTCTCAGTATAGTTACAACGGTTGCCCCACCCTTCAAACCGAAACGCATTACTGCTTCACGGCAGAAATAGGCAGGGCGGTGGTACCCACCTGTGCGGACTCACAAGAGGTCCCTGCGGTTGTACTTGAGATTGTAATTGAGAACATGACCTCATGTCTCACGACGAGCTTACGCCGTCCGCCGGCTTACTACGCCGGCTTAGTGACGTCATTATTTTAATTACAGTTTTCGAACCGAGCAAGTCCAGATACGGTTGGGTGTTGTTTAAAGGGAGTCACGGAGGACTCGTCGCGAGTGACTAATACGAACACAGGATTTAGTCTCGTACGTTACTGTAATTATATAAGTACCAAAGAAATTGTTTTAAGAGTTCTTGTCACTTGGCTTGCACCGGCGCACCGACCACTGCATTAGGTTATTCACGTTCTGTGTGCTTAATGCGAGTTTTTTAACGTTGTCGGTAGCGTAAACGTTAACTCAATTTTGTATGGAGTTGGAACGTTTGCCTGCGTTTGCCGCTAGGGGCGCTGCTGTTTCAACTGCATACAAAGCTGAGTTAACTTTTACGCTATCGACAACGTTAAAAAACTCGCTCTAAGCACACTGGTTCTCGGAGGTTTAACGTAGGAGAGTAGATAGATAGATGTGAAACTAAATATTTTTTTAATGGTTTTCATTATTTTGTTGGGTGATTGCGTGATAGAATAATTGCCTCACAGGACTGAACCCGCGCTGTTTCATTCGAGAATTGTGTTTGTGTTAATTGGTCTGCTAAAGTGTTTATTATATCCAAAAGTTCCACAGGACGGATGGAACTTATTTTTTAATACATTTTAAACAAGTTTCCTAGATGAAGGCCCTTGCAATTTGTCTGTTTGTTCATGTTTTTATTCTTGTTCGCCGTATCGAATAGCTCAAGTTAGTTTAAACTATGTTTATATATTATTACATCGTTATACGCATTAAAATAAATAATACATGTAGTTCCTGATTTCGAATCATCGACATCGTCCCGTTAGGTTTAAATCATATTATATTAGTCTAAATTATTATAATTTTAACGTTGTCACAAAGTGAATTTGTGAAGGGTGTAGCCATTTTTGAAAGTATAATAACGAAAATAAATTTCAGTTGCGCCTATCATTATTAATTCTGTCTCTGTCGTTCTTTATCAAATCGGGCAGCTTAGAAAGAGAGGGAGAGAGAGACAAACTATATTGGTGTTTGTAGTTTTATTAAGTTTTACTCGCGTTGAGTATGTTGGAGATTAGTAAATAGAATGTGCATTCAGTTAGTTGTATTTAGAAATGTTTGCAGGGAGCCGGGCCGTTTGCAAATATACCTATAATAGAATGTACCTAAATTATAATATAGTATAGTATAATGACGTCATAATCTAGGATTATATTAGATTATAATGTCACTATAATATAACATAATCTGTTGTTTAGTAACGTAATGAAGGGAGATTGTAAATTAAAGCAATCGAACGAACCGATAATGTTTTCGATCGAATTATAAATAATCATCTAGGTACGGTAAATAATTATCGGATGAACATCATCAAGATTGGACATAGCGTAATTATATACTATACTCTATTCCAATTACGAAGTCCCTTTTGACACTTCTTAGAACGTATTAATAATAATCAGTTTTGTTCATGATTGTAAATCATCATAATTTAAAAAATACATAATCAATCTAAATCATTATACAATTAATTCACACACACAATAACATAATAATATCTGTCAAATGGACCTTCGTAATTGGAATAGAGTGTACGGGAAGCACTTACTCTCTCAGTCTACGTCCTACCCCACCAGAGATTCCTAAGCTCGTAATTTAAGCCACAACTGCCTATAATTTGATACACGTTCAAACTGTTTTTATAATTAGCTTCGCATTTCTATCGTTTCAAATAATTGAAGACATGAGTGGATGAAGTGGATATGATACAATCTGTTAATTTTGAGAAAACGGGCAACAGACTTTTGTTACTTGTCCTTTTCCTTCGTAAGAAACTCCTTCAACACTTGAAAATTACATGAATTAAAAATAGCCTTAAAACCTGGAGTTTTAAGGTCTAATATGGTTTATAGACATAACACCTTCATTTGATGTAAAAACTCAAAAATCTTAAAAATGGTACTTAACCCCATCATCCACTCATGTCTTCAATAAAATTGTGTACAATTGAAGACATTAATCGTTGTGCACAATGTGGTACTGGTGGCTACATCCCGTCGGGATGGATAGTTTTTGATAATATTAAATGAGTTTATACAAATACCTACCAACTTTTATTGGTGAACTCAATGAATCAGAAATGATGAGTTCGAAGTTACACCTCGTTTCCGGCGGGTCGATGTGATTTGCGAAAATTTTAAGTCACGTTTTTTTCACTTGACAAATTATGTATGACTAAAAATAGTTGACAAGATACCTACTTATATTTTAATAATTTTTCTTTGAAATATTTTGTTAAAGCCAAAGAAGTTTTAATTGTTACGTAATTGACACACGCTGTTTGTTTTGCGATTTTTAGGTAAAATTTTAGGGTCATTTTAGTATGAGCTCTGTTTGTTTGAAGATCGAATTGCATTAGTAAATTTTTAACAACAAGTGTTTTTAAATAACTTCCATTTTAGCGTGGTCTTGTTGCGCCACGTCTTTGTTAAAGAAACTCATCTCGTTGTGAGTTTTTTCACGTTCTCGATAGCGTAAAAGTTAACCCAGTTTTGTATGCAGTTGGAACAGCGTCTCTAGCGGCTAACGCAGGCAAACGATCCCATTCCATACAAATATGAGCTAACTTTTACGATATCGAAAACGTTAAAAAACTCACTAAGCCCACAGTAATAAGAACGGTTTCCGTTTTCGTGTCGTTCATAGCGAGTTCACCATTAAAAGTGAAATTGTTTCTAATTTAAATGTTATTGTAGGATTCGATACACAATATCTTCGGGCCTAAGTAAACTTGTATATCATAGGGTTTGTGTGGTCATCGTACGTTGATGATAATTTTAACTGTATATAATAATATATATGTTGCGTATTACCAAAGAACGTTGCAATTTTACTACATTTATACATTAGCAGCCGTGCATAGCCATCGAAACAATACGTGGCTATTTTCAGTAAATATTGAAATATAAATTATATTAAAACTAAATTATTATTATCTACATGATATAGGTATTTTAATGTCAAAATTACCTCTCGTGTGTTTTGACAAGTGAATGTGCTCAATTTTTCTTTATAGAAAAGAAAAACAATTTTGACAAAAATTCTATTACATCTATTACAAGTTAAAAAAATATAGGTCTGTGTTGTAATATTAAATATTTGTCGTAGTGTTGCCATAATATTAAATATTTAAAGATATTTTGTGGTGTATCCGTTGTTGCTGGACAACGTATTGAATTCTGCATATCCGAAACGTCTCGAAGGTTCCCGCGAGCAGCCGTCACAAACTACCCGCCTTTGTCGATGCCTTATTGAATTGCTACGTTGTTTGGTAAGTGAATAGGTTGTGTTTTAGAAAGCAAATAATTTATAACTGAATGTTGTGAATATTCATTCCTCTGTTGTGACGATGTATTATTGTAAAAATTATGAAAAATAAATAAATATATATATATGTCTATAATTATGTTATTGGTCGACATATGACAATAGTGACGTGCTCTGAATGTCCATATTGAGTGCCTATAAAATGCTTTTATTTTATTAGTATATTTATCATTAATTAATTAATTAAACAAACAGTCAGTCCGGGTAACTTTGATAAAGATGACGTTGATGTTTTTGGGTTAAATAATTCAAATGCTTCTCGCGAATGGACGCGCGGATCACAAGTTACCGGAAGTGGCTGCACACAAATTGCCTTTGATAAATTATTATTCCAATACAATATATTAATTATTTCCTATGAATAGTGAAGTTTTTTCGTATTTTTTTTTGTATTTTCGAAGGACCGCACTATATTTAGATGAATGTTCGTAGGTGGCACCTATTGTTGTAATTAATAACTCTATAGGCGTTCCGATGATCGCCGATCGCGTAGTTGTCTCTTTTTCAAATTTGAAACGTTTTCACTCTGGTATGATGGTATGGTAGTGAATTGTTTACAAACTGGACCCGTAGCCGGCAGATAACATGGTATCTTTGTATTGCGAATTATAGAGGACATTTTCTTTCGTGACTGATGTTGTTCCACGTTATATACAATTGAAAATACCATTGAATGAGTTTAATGGATAATTTTAATGAATGCCATGATTTTTGTATGTTTTATTAAACTATTTGTTTTGAAAGATTAAACGTAAATTTTGACTTTATCAGATTTTTTTTTTACTCAAAAGCAAAGAAGTCTCTTTTGTACGCTTTTGTGTTTGTTTGGTTAGTGATAATATTTTGAAGCCGAGTAACGGAATTTTGAGTACGCAGATGTATTATCACTGTTGGAAAATGCATTGTATTTCCGTAAAATTCACGGTATTACGAGTAACAGTGAACAAGCTTTTGGTTATTTAATTATTGTACTGGGTCTAAGGAAAACTTTTTCGAAATATCTGTAAACTGCTCTGTGATGCGAACGGAAACATTAAACAGAATTTGTTTTATATATTAATTGGACATGTCATTTAAAGCACGCGCATTTAGTTTTGGCACTTGTGTACATCCGTGAAGGTCGACCTTGCGCGTCACCTGAAAATAGTATACACAAAAACATTAGTAACAAAAATTATTTTTCTGTAGTATTTGTTAATTTTATCCAAAGATTGGGCATGATTTTTTCGATTCATTCGAATTTGAAACGTTCCAAGTGTTTGTTGTCTGCTCACGGCGCCCCCACACTAGCGAGATCGACTTGTAGACACGAGCTTAACTTTTTGTATTTTTAAAACGTTACAGGATTGATGTCGAACAACCGGTTTGGTGGACTGTATTCCTCTTGTTTAGTTGTAAACGAAAATGGTTTATGGAATGGCCAAATTGACATTTGACATGATTAATTAATGAATGACACTTAAAATAATAATTTTGGTCAATCGTCCGGAAAATATTTCGACAATAGACAATATTTCTGTAAAAAAATAAATATCTTCTCAAAATGGGATTTGTGTGGCCATCGCGTAAAGCAAGCAGAATACCGCTCAAGACAAATTTTAAAATTATGTAATCATCATTTCTCGCAACGAGCATCTTTGATTGACTCTACTCTACCTATTAACGCCTTCAATTCCTAAACAAGATCTAAATCTAATGTAGGTACGTACCTATGTAAAAAATATGGGCACGATGCTTTAAACAAAATTAAATGTCCACATACTTTTTTTAATCTAGAGATAGTTCATTTACGTCTCACGGAATCCAAGACAGAAAATCACCGCTACACTTTTATTTCATCGTATGGATGGTATTATAAAAATTGTGTTCTTAATTTAAAAAAAATTTGTTTTGTAAAATGCTGTTTTCAAATTACGTAACTTCTTTCTAACTAACTAACATTAGGACTAAACATAAAGTTGACATTGTGAGATGTGAATTTGGCCTTAGAACAGTCTTTAAAAAATGAGTCGCTAGTCTAAATATTTTGATGTCTACTTCGATACAAAAATGCAGTCCGCCAATTCGACAACGTGTATTTTAGATGTTAAGAAACGTGTGGCCTTATCGCAGTAATAAATGTACAGAATGGTGATTATTGTAAATTTCCCTCAGATCCTTGTGTACATTTACATTCATGCGAACAAAAATAATGTTTTGAAATGAACGATATTAGCTAATTATTGACAAAAGTAGTTTATTCTGCGATAAGGTAGTTATTGTTGTATGGAAGTGAATGACGAGATTTTGTGTAAAAAATTTGTGGATGAGGGAAACAGTGTCTGGAAATAAAACTAGTCATGTGTTTATATTGGAGTTTTTTTTATTCTTGAGTGTTTTACGGTGTATTCTGATCTGGTTGAAGAAGGGCCAGGCAGGAAGCAGTCCTGCCTTTAACTTTTGATACGTGCGACACTTCTTAAAAACAAGAGAATTGAGACTTCAAGCTGACGCCGCGTGGTGGTGAACTACGTACAATTTGTCATGCTCGTGGGATCCGGTACCCACTTAATACTAGACGGGCTTTGAGTACAGTAATAGAAAGCAACATGTACAAAAGTGCATGGTGGAGAGTAGAGATGCTATAAAATTATGTCGGTTCAAACATGGTACTAATTAGCACAGGATATAATATCTACAAGTTCGTATCACCCTTACATACTTTTTGTTTATTTATGGCTTAGATGGTATGTCGAGCTCCTGGTTCACCACGAAAATGCTGTCGCTCATCTTGAGACATGAGTTTTAATTCTCAGCTTTGACAGCAGAAAGAAATAGGCAGCGTGGTGGTATCTACTCTTAGGGGCTCATAAGACGTCCTAGCACCATAGTTACGCAAATAGAAAATTTTGGGAATTTGACTTTTATCATCATTCTCCTGGCCCTCTCCTAGTCATTTGGAGTCGGCGCAACATGTTTTCTCTTTCCATACTCCTCTATCATATACCATTTCTTCGCTCACTCCTCTTTTACACATATCGTCTTTCACGCAATCCATCGATTTCTTCTTACGTCTACCATTTTCTCTAAAGCCTTCCACATTCATAGTTAATACTCTCTTAAGTTTGATTTTTATAACAAAATGTTATTCCTTCACTGTGGAAGTCAATCGTGAACAATTACGTTAAGTCGGTACGTATTTCATAAGAGAAAATGGTACCCGCCTGCAGGATCCGAACATCGAGTCGCGACCAACGACGATACGAACGCATGGGCAAAGGATGAGCCTTTACGCCACGACGACTTCAACAAGTAGGCAGTTTTTTGAATATTAAAACGAAGTTTGATATACACGTATATTTATTAAATTTAACATCATTTATCTGTTAAACGTAGTTACAATACACAAGACCGAAAAATTTTTTTGAATCGAAATTCCAGGGTCGATGGGGAGGGGTACCCTAACCGGAAAAAACGTCCGTAACGTAAGATTTTTATTAGTAATGCACACAGTGTACGATTTAAGTTTGTAATAAAAATAACATATTTATTATTATTCATTGACCACTATCTCAGAGCGTTCGTTTGCAATACACTAACTCTTATGCAAACAACCGTGAATGAAGTGTACCACAATAAGTTCGCATGTTACCGAATGACCGTGGGTTGTTGCGAAACCTCCAGTTTTATTTTCTTTATACCTCGAATAGAACTTAAAATTAATATTTTAATAATAAGGAGCTTCGTTCCTATCCGGTGTTCCACGACACCACATCTTTTTTTGTATATATCGCGGATACCACTCTACAGGAGCCAGCAACACGGCGGGTGAGAAGGTCTCCGCGTACTTCGGATTTTCTTTTTCTTTTTCCTACCTATTCTAGTAACCTCGAGGGGTTATTCTAGATTCACCGAACTAGTAGGCGAGCTCACGGGGCTCAAACCGGAGTGTTGCCAACACTGGCCCTAGCAAGAGGAGTGCTTCGCAGAATCTACCACCGGATCGGAAACGCGTCCCACTGATTGATCTTAGAACTTATATCTCAAGATGGGTGCATTTACGTTGTAGATGTCTATGGGCTCCAGTAACCACTTAACACCAGGTGGGCTGTGAGCTCGTCCACCCATCTAAGAAGAAAAAAAAAAGTTTGAATAGGAAATAAAACAAACAATGGTTCTCGTAATAAATATTATTTCAACACTTCATAGCCTAATTAATGTACAAAACGAGGCGGCCAATTCGAATTCCATGAAAATAATATTTACAGAGAAACTTTCGTAATGATACGAATCACACGAAACAATTTTCAACAATACTTTTTTATAAAAAGTATCATTACCAATCAAACAATTCAAATTTAATATAGACCACGTATCCTAAACGTTTTCGAAATCAGAACTAATTAAATGTGCTCTTGAAGATAATTATTTACAATAAAAAAAACCGTTTTTTAGGCACAATCGAATAATTGTTACATTTTCATGAACAGTTTTGTGTCGATACTATAAACATAATAAAATATGTAACATCAGTTTTATAAAATTATCAGACTACACACTAAAAATTCTATACAAATCACAAGAAATTAACTAAACAATATAATCGTGACGCTAGGACCTTATGTGATAAGTCTGCACGGGTAGGTACCGACATCCGCCTAGCTCTACCACGAAGCAGTCATGTGTTCCAGTTGCAGAGTTGAGACAGCCACTGTACTTTACAATTGAGACGTCGACCTCACGGGTTAAGGCGAACGCCGGAAGGGCCGTCAGCTAGTCCACTTATATAGATTTTCTACAAAAATAGAAACCACGTGCACCTTTAGTGTTATTTTCTTATTTTTATGCGACACGAGCCAATGATATTTTAATTATTGTAATATCAATGCAGAATGTATTATAAACCAATTAAAACTAAGATTACAATCGATTTGAGATTTGATATTTAATAAAATATTATAATGAGACATTTCCGAAATCAAAGTTTCTTTGGTCCATTAGGAGTGTACATTCAGCCTGATGTAAAATTTTAATGCGTGTTAATATTTATTGATATCTACATACGATAATGCACCCTCGAACATTGTACCATCGCGTCCACTTAAATATAGAGCTTAATTTAATAACACGCTTTTTTGATTAAAAATCTTTAAAATAATTGTCTGTCCGGCTGCGCTATAAATAGACGACAAACTAAATTTTCTAAACATTAATAACATTAAACTCATCTAATGCAGTCGCAGCCCCAAATTAAATAGCTAATTGCCCAGCCTTACTCGACCCAATGAAAACGATTACAATCCAATCTACAAGCCACATATAATTATTGGATGTTGTATATATATGTGTATTTATATTCGAAATTAGTGTGATCTTAAAGCAACAATTTACTGAACTGTTTAGTGTTCGGCTTTCGGTAAGAAGAGTAGTTTTAATGGATCTGTTTATATAATAATAATAACAAGTAACAGTAAAAAAAAACCGGAATAATCGAAAAATAGACATAATAAAAGACAAAGATTTCCAGAAGCAAACTGAGTTTCCAATACACGTTGAGGGTATCAGCGGCGCCGGGTTCACAGGGCGAGCGCGGCCGAGCGCTTGTCGCGGTTCTTGTTGCGAGCCAGCGTGCGCGCCTTGCACGCCGCCGTGTTCTGCAGGTGCTGCAACATAACGCACATACATCGGTACAGTGGACGCAACAGTACAGAGTGGCCATTGTGTTCATTATGAAAGGTCTGTTGTGTTACCCGCTGCAGCTTGTTGAGCTTGGCCTTGGGCAGCGCGTCGGCGGGCAGCACGTCGTCGAGGCCGAGCGCGGCGCGGAGCGGGCGCGCGTGCGGCGCCAGCGCCTGCAGGCCGGCCCCCAGCGCGGCGGCCAGCGCGGCGTAGGCGCCCAGCGCCGCCCACGTGTCGCACTGCAGCGTCTCGGCGCCCACGCGCACGGCCACGCTGGGCGCCGCGTCCTCCTCGAAGTACTTGAGGATGTCCGAGGAAGGTGGCGCGCTGCAGCTTGCCCGGTCGCGCGCTTGGCGCGGTTCTTGTTTGCGAGTCGCGGCGCCAGCTTCTCCGCAGGTCGAGCCGCTGTGCTGGGGCCGCTCGGCTGGGTGCGGCGCGGCTTCGTGGCGCGACGGCGAGCGCCGGGCGCCGCGGCGCGCACGTCGAGCGGCGCGCGCAGCAGGCCCGGCAGGCGCGCCCAGCCGGCGCGGCCTGCAGCGCGTGCTGCGCGGCGGGGGCGGGCAGCCCGCCCAGCAGCACGCTCCACGCGTCCAGCGCCGCGCCGCACCACGCGCCCTCCTCCACGGCCGCGCCGGACACCTTCACGCTGCCGTCGCCCTACAACAACAAATCAAATTTCATCGATGCAAACCTTTCCTATTTAAAATGTTTATTGAATTAATTTATTTTTTTAACCATAAATCAGTCGGTATGAGATAAAAATTTACTACATTAATGTCGTCTCCTTGCCCTTATACTACTACGTGGAGCCGTCGCAGCTTTTCTATCAGGCCTGTCACTCTTCTCTCGAATATCCTATTTTACACAATTCATCCAATTTATTTTAGAATCTTGGTCCAAACATAACCCAAAAATTGTAATAAGTTACCGAGTTAAGTAATGTGTAAGTGCAAAATCATTCCCAAGGGAAAGTTTAAAGTTTCCAGCAAATTGTACAAGCTTACGTCTGCTGTCTGTGAGCGACGCTGACGACTCACCACTAGGTAGATTCCGGCAAACAAGTTAAATCCTTACCGGAACCCATTAACGTCACAATATATAAGATAACATGTAATCAATATTTATATAGTTAAAGATTGTTATTGTGAGTTGGTGAATTGTTATTAAAGTATAGCTAGCTGCTGAGATCCCACCCTGAGGCGACAGCCTAATTAACCTACCCTACCAATCATCAATCCTAATAACATCTGTTATTAATCTTATAATACCGAGCAGAGTTTGCAAAATTTACACTGTAATGTTCATACCTTCAAATAACAGCTACTAAAGATTGTCTCGTACATCTGCATGATTTCTAAAATTTCATTCACATCTTCCTCCAGCAGATAACATAGAGCGGCCAAAGATGAACAACACTAAAAACAAGTTGTGTAATTAAAGACACTGAAATCAATAATTATAAATATATTTAACTTTATATATAATAAGTATTTTACTGCATGTTGGGCGACTAAAGTAAAGCATGAAAGAGGAATGCACGCGGCAGAGATGTGAATGTTGAGATAGATGTGTGGAGGGACAAGAATGGACAAGATAAGGAATGAGTATATCAGAGGAAGTGTGAAAGTAGCCCCAGTAATCAAGAAATTAAAGTGCGGACGGTTAGCGTGGTATGGACATGTGATGCGTAGAGAGTAGATGCATGTGAATAGGAGATGTAAGGAAATGGTAGTGCAAGGTAGAGGGGGAAGAGGTCGACCGAAGAAGACTGGAGAAGATGGGTGGAGTGTGTGAATGAAGATATATATATATATATATATAATAAACATTAATATTACCTCGGCTCTGGTTTCCAACGAGGAAGTCTTGTCCGTGCAGGCCGCCACCAGCGCCGGTCGCACTTCTGCCATGAACTCCTCCGTGCCTTCCTCGCCGATCTGAAATGTGGCATTACACTCGGCTTTAAAAATAGGAGACGTTACACGAAATCAATCTAAGCTGTAAGTCTCTGTTCAATTATTCATGTTAATTGCGACAGTTCAAGCACTAATCAATTAGTGATGTCCTCAGGCGATACCAATGCGATTTTTTATATCCATCGATTTAATTATTAATTAGTTTTCGTCGAAGGAAAAATTGAGGTTTTTTCGTAAGGATACACGTGTCATACCAATTATTTTATAAATGAGGGTATTGTTCACACGCGGAAGTCTATATGACAATTAGAGAATTTGTGTTGTGACTATGCGATTATTTCTAATAGGAAATTCGAGTGACGCTAGGCAGAGACCGCGACGTCGCCCTAAAGACGTCATTACGGATCCTCCCCATCTGTTAACGATGCTTTTAGGTATCTCAAGCACCGGACAACGTCCTCGCCGAACCCGTCGCTTGCGACGAAGGGCTCGACGGGTAAATTTACCCACAGACACACCCCACTGAGTTTCTCACCGGAAAATCTCAGTGGGTCGCGTTTCCGAACCGGTGGTAGATTCTGCGAAGCACTACCCTTACTAGGGCCAGTGTTGGCAGCACTTTCGGTTTGAGCCCCGTGAACTCACCTACACGTCAGAAGCTGAAATAGTCTCTCAAGGCTAACCAGCATAGGTAGGGAAAAAAAGTGCATAGACATTGCATGGTTTGGCGCGTCGGTGGGTACCTGCAGGGCGAGCAGCGGCGCGACGGCGGCGGCGGCGCGTCTCTCTGCGTCCCGGCCGCGGCGTAGGGCGCGCGCCACGTGGTCTGCGAGCGTGGCGCGCTGGTTGCTGAGCACGGGCGCGAGGTAGCGGCGCTGCAGCGCGGCCCGCAGCGACACCAAGGCCGACGCGCGGGCCGCGTTCGCACGAGCGCTCAGCCCGTCGATGATCTCCAACACTTTCTCTTCCAACTTCTCTTGACTGTCGTTTTCTGTAACACAAACAAACACATTTTTCGGTGTAAATTTTTATCTGCTATTAAATATTATCTCTAAAGTAGTTAGTCTAACATATATTTGTTTGTGCTGCTCTTAAAACCACAGATTCGTGTATGGAAAGACTGCCCAAATTTATTTGTTTTAGACTTAGTAATTTTTTTCCTCTCTAAGCACCTATCATTTTTTTAAATACTTTGACATTGGCAAAATCAGTGCCTAAGGCGTTGGAGCCAAATTCTTTATAAAAAAAAAAACATTGTTTATTGGTGCACGAGATGTGACTTGCACGCGTCGATAACGTTTCTGTCGTGAAGCAGATAAAATATGTGTTTGATAAAGACTCAATTGTTTTGATTAAACTCAGAATTTCTCGTAACATTGAGTTCTATTCTAAAGACCAAAGAGTGTACATATTATTGATTTTAATAAAATAATACTTATGAAAAACAAAATCAAAACAAACTTTTGCAATTAATTTCAATTAACACTTTAGCGAACAGAATGCAGTTATACAATAGAGAAGTGTCGCTAAGAAACTCAGGAATGGTCTTTTGAAATGAAATTCCATGACGCGACTAACGGTAAGGGTTGACTGATAGAATTCAATTACTTAACTTATGTTAGTTATACTTCTAGCTCTTGATTCATAAACATAAACAAATGTGACCTTTAATTATTGTGACTTAAAGGCCAAACTCCGACGCACTATTTACTGTAAGCGTTTACTTATAAATCTGCAACGATAGCGTCAAAGACGACATTTGAAAAACGAAAGTAATTCTCCTTTTTTTGTTACCTACCTAGTGTCAAATCATATAAATTTCGACCGTAAAAAGGCGGGAAAACGAAATTGAAAAATCGAATGTCACCCTGTACCTTCTCAAATAATTTCATTATTAGTTCTTCACCCGACCGTACACATTTTTCTAAATATAAATGTACTATTACATGGCAACACACAAAGATATCAAAACATTTTAGATCTGAAGTATATAATATCTTTGACCTAAATTGAAAAAAAAAAACCGCAGAAGTGTACGCCTTACAACAACGCACAATGGTTTCGTATTCAGAATTAAAGACAAAGATATATTATTATTACTCCTTTGACATTACTCCATATGGTATAATACATATTGATGTGTATGTCCTAGCTGCTGCAAAATTATGTATATTTCGAACCACTTTTACGGTTTAATCTGGCGTTTACTATTTATTATTTCAGAATTTGAACTTTTCGTAAAACAATTAATTTAACTATAACTTTAATGAACAATACTGAAAACGGACTGAATAAATAAACATGAAATAATGAATTGCAATTAGTCCCTTAGTTCACATAGACTATGTTATTGTTTGGCACAGACTATTTGCTAGCTCATCAGTCAACGTAAACAAACTCATCTTACAGATCCACAGTTTTCTTTCAATTATGAGTTAAAAATATTTCACTTAGTTTATTTATTTTTATAGTTTTTAAATTCGTTGCCCAGTTTTATGCGTTCGTAAGATAAATCTCTCTTTTCCCTACGCATAACCTTGTTACGAAGTGTGTTCACTACTATATGAATTTATTTCTAAAAATCATATAAACAAACGAAAACATAAATTAAGAATTCAATCATCATCATCAAGAATTCAATTCAACACACGTGCTACACGTGTGTACTGTTTGAGGAGAATTCCATTGATCGGCACATTGTTGCAAAATTTGGCAACACCATGTTTGATGGACACCTGCTATTGTCAATTCCATGAGTCATTAGAATCTGTTCTGTCATAGAAATGTGCTGTAATAAAATCTAAAATGTTCCACTTAGGATAATAAAACGTAACTAATATAGTACTAATAGAACCCAAGGCCGGGGCGGTCGCCTCGACCTTTGCAGTTTATCTATCATTTCATAACAGCGACATATAAAGATAACTGTTTTAAGATAAGATCAGATATTTTTACTATCTGATAATTGGAATTGTTTTGGAGTATTAGAAATTTAGGTTAAATAACTTTCAGGAGCGTTCTGTAACATAAAATCTAGCTGTACGATCCTAGTTCCCATTGACACACCCACTGAGTTTTTCGCCGGATCTTCTCAGTGGGTCGCGTTTCCGATGCGGTGGTAGATTCTGCGAAACACTTCTTGCTTCTGCTCTTGCTAGGGTCCGTGTTAGTAACACTTCCGGTTTGAGCCCCGTGAGCTCACCCACACTTCAAGGCGAAGCTGAAATAGCCTCTCAAGGCTATCAGTACAGGCAGGGAAAAAAACGATACTAAAACAAATAACTGTCTAAATGGGTCTTTTGGGTAATTATTTTATTCAATACAAAATTAAGCTTTCATAATAAATGAAATTGTGACGTAAGAATTGTTTTATAGTCTCACCTCACAGCGATAGTTGCCGATTTATTGCGTCACAAAGCATATTCAAGATTTACATTCATTTACGTAATTCGAAGTACACGTAGTAGGAATGTTCAGAGCTTATCAATATCGAAGGCGTCACGTAATATGTACTTGGAAATTTTCGAATTACGTTGCTGCGTGAGTAATTAAAATAGTTCTATGGGAGTTTTCCGTTTCTTAATAACAATGAGGTTTTTAACAAAACTAGCGTAAAGCATCTTTGACGAAAATATATTAATTTCGACAAAGATGTTATTCATGTTGAGAGTTGTGGGGGCGAAAACTTGGCATTGGAATAACAACTATCCTACTTGTCGAATTTGAAATATATTATCGTTTCTCTAAAAATAGGAAAGTTTGGTGTTTTATTGTATTTTTTTCCCCATCAAAGAATAATACTTAAAAAAAATAATACAATGTTTGAGGTTACGATTTTCCCCGTATCTGATGTATATTGTTTGCATTACCGTTGAAGATTACAATTAGAGGGTCAAGTGGAAACCACCGTATGAGTCACAAGCGTCACCACTGATGTGTTGATACACAACATTAGCCTGCATTATGTCATAAGTTGTTTGCTTTGTCTTTATGTTGATATTTATTTGTTTTGTATATATTTATCAAACAAAGAATGTATTTCAAATTCTGAAGCCATACAAAACAAAATGTTTCAATCCTAAAATAATGTTTATTTTATCATATCCGGCCCAAGAGATGGGGCAACGCACTCGTCGACTAAAACTTAAGTTTTCCTTCATAAAAATTAGGAGGCAGTAAAAGCTGCAATGATACTTAGCGATAAATAAAAACGTGTTGCAGCTACAAAGAGCTCAATTGTCATAAACTAATGCACAGTTTTCATTATGACCTCTGATAATATAACAGTAAAAAGTGTGATATCTAAATTCTGTTTAATCAATGCATGTTTATAATACATTTCTGGTGGCAACTGATGTAGACTAGATATAGATTCTGTTTTTACTATAATTATAATTGGCACCATAAATAACTTGGCAATTCACAAAGTAAATATCATCTATATTTATAAAATTTATTATTTTTTATATGTTATAATAGATCATTTTTAATTTACTCTGTTTGTAAAATTAGTCCTTTTTAACATATTACTTACCGCCTTCATCATGGATGCTCTTGAGGTCAGACTGTCCAGATGTCTCCGAGTAGTTGTCATTTGTCATGTCAATGCCAGCATCTTCTTCTGAGGAATACTCTTGCTCGGTTCTTCTGTGCTCTGTGAAAAATTCCATTTTAAAACCTTGCGTCTGTTTGTAATTAATACCAAACTTGGTGCAATACTTCTTTATGTTGTTAACATTTTGAATTTGTTTTTGGATGTGAATTAAAATTGAACTATTTTATGAACATTTTAAATATTTTTATGAATTTTTCTACATTGATGTTAATTGAAAGTACTGTGACTAAAACAACTATTTGAGGTCACAACTCAACTCTCTCGCTCTGACTTCTACTCAATCAGTAAAAAGTTGTTACTTGCTCATTTCAATTCATGTATAAGAAAATGTGAATTTTTCCATAGGATTCCATCTAGCAAATTTTAAGAACACAAATTAAAAAACCCTTTTGCATCTTTGGCAACAAAAATGATATTATTATGCACTTCTAACGTCGTAAAATATAACCCATATTGAAATTGAATCAAAAAGTCAGCATTCTAATTTACAGAATAAGAAAATATTATTACCATTTACATTTAAGCAAAATCATGTACAGTGCTGTTTAGCGCAATAAACAAATTTTTCGTCAATTTAATTTACCCTGGAACATTTAAAATTCCATGTTTACAGTTTAATGATAATAATTTTCTATAAAACGTCGCCTAAATTTTTATTGATATGCTTTTATTGATTTATTTATTTTATTGATTGCAAGTCACACGGTACTATTAATATAATGCACTTTAAGAATATATTCAATGTTTCTTGTTTGGTTTTCGAATGTGAAAAAAACGATCTTAGTATTGTCACTATTTACATTGAAAGATTTCAGAAAGGTTGTTGTGTCGTGTGTTAATATTGTTGGTCGATTGGTATTAGGCTGTGATATTGCAGATTCTAATCGTGACCGTTTTTAACTAAACATATGGTAGGTGTTCTGGGGTATTGGTTGGCCTGACCGTGAACATTTCGCTGACGTCACTACATACCAACCCGCGGAAAGTCGCACACACAAGGTCGCCGCGTGATCTTCATCCTAACAATTCCAGATTGTTCCTATCAAAGCACAAGTACACCGTAAAGCAGATTGAAAGTACTCACCGTATTTTCCTTTTCTTTTCCCTTTAGGCATGGTGATTTACGATAATTGAACTCACTAAAAGCAAAACACAACTTAACTAAATTTTCTAAATATTTTCTAGGTTTCTCACTTAATCAAGAAGGAGAAAAGTTTATTATATCAGTTCTTAAAGAATGATTTGGACCACGAATGAAACATAAAACTGAAATTTCAGAAAAACTTTTTAACATGTTTAACCGTGTAACATGCACACTTGACTTTACGCAATGCGCTGCAGCTGTCACTTTACGGACAACAGATTTTATAACGCCATCTTTGTTTGGTGTGGCCAATTCCCAAAATAAAAAGCTGCTAAAATCGACATTAAAGGTCTTTATTGTTTTTCGGGACTGGCACATCGGTTGTGTTATAATAAGTCATATAATTTTGATTTGAGATTAGGCCTACTGGTCAACGAAAACCATTTGTTTTTAAAAAAAAAAATTAGGTTTCAATGGGTTCAACAAGTCGTAAAATTTATTAAGCTTTTAAATAAGATTTCTGTCTAGCAATCTGATTATGTTCGTTTCAAATTTAGGTACTCATAAATTAGGTCTATCAGACATTTTCTCCAGTACAATATGGAATATTTTTCTAAAAGGAAGTTTCTAAAAAGTCGAAAAAAGAATGCAGAATATTCCGCAACTGCTACTATACTATGCCTCTGGCATTATTACTGACCATTAATAAACCTAAATACTAACCTCGTGGGTGTAAGATTTACTCTTTTGTCTTCTAAGTTTCTAAAATATTCACAATAAAAGAACATTATGAAAAAACTAATATATTAGTAAAATTATAGGTGGTAGGGCGTAGGTGTATAATGAAACCATTTAAAAAATATGCAATTCATCTAAATTGGTTTAATGGTGACATTGTCTATTTACATCAATTACAAATGAAATCTTACTCAATGGCTAGAAAAATTAATAATCAGTTATTAAAATTTAAAATTGTATATCTAAAAGGATTTTGAAAGTAACGAATTGGGTAGAAATATCTCTAAACTGTCAACACTGCTGTCTTTTTATTGGGTAAGATTAAGAAACAAAATGTAATGTTAATGAATCAACGCAGCGACCAAGTAGCAAATCGCAACATTGCACAACACAATGACATTAACAATAGTGAATACTTAAAAAATATTTTAGAATATTATGATATTATATTGCACAACATTAACGATTTTTTTTGTAATTAGGATTTCGTTTTTATGTATCTAGTTGTACAATGCAATATATAACGACATCTTATTTCATGCGATGTAAGATGTCGTTGTTGTAGATAAAACACTGAATATGAAGAGTAGTCAAAATCTAGTACAATTCGTTTTAAAAAAATCCTGGTTTAAAAAGAAACTCAGCTAAATATTTAAATTAGAAAGAACAAATACAATCAACTGGCAAGGTGGACGTTGTAATGGCCTGAAAAAAATTCAAAATCTGTTATATTTCTGCTTCCTTAGCCCAATTGTCCAATTGTAAAATTAACTATCCGAAATGACGTGTTTTTTTGGCGACGTCGATTGCTTTCCATTCTGTCCCCAGGATCGGGAATGGTATCCTCCCGATTCATTAACGGTGATTTTAGGTACCTCAAGCACCGGCCATCGTCCTCGCCGAACCAGTCGTTTGCGACGAAGGGCTCGATGAGTACATTAGCCCATAGACACAGCCCACTGAGTTTCTCGCCGGATCTTCTCAGTGGGTCACGTTTCAGATCCGGTGGTAGATTCTGCGAAGCACTGCTTTTGCTAGGGCCAGTGCTAGCAACACTCCGGTTTGAGCCCCGTGATCTCACCTACACGTCAAGGAGAAGCTTAAATAGCATCTCAAGGCTATCAGCATAGGTAGGAAAAAAGAAAAAAAAAATAACTTTCTTTCCACAACTTTGCCTCCTACTCTACATTTTATATGTGGGTGGAGATGTGATAACCAGTGGAATGAAAGGTAGCCTATATTCTTTATCAGGATTCAAAGTATTTAAAATTTCTTTTAAATCAGTTTAGTGGTTTGTGCGTGAATATGACACAGTCAAAAATACTTTCGTATTTGTAATTTTAGCTTGGTCCCGAAATGATCCATTTTATTTTGAATATGGGTTCTGACCCTCTGAGGCCTGTCGCATTGCAGTACCCGCAACGTTCATGTCATATAGACATTATCAGCCATTAAGTACTTAAATCGGGGACGAATTTTGAGACACTATAAATTCTCGAGAAGCCTTGTTAGCCCAATCAACTTAACTCCATATACGGCCTCAATATATCAAGCGATGACTTGATGATTTAAATTCGACCAAAAATAAAGATTTCCCTCCAAATAGTGTCATACTGTACACGTATGACGAATTCCGCTCCTCATGTTCGATAAAGTTTGGTTTGATAAAGAAAGAATTCGATGTCGTATGGCGATTTGGGCACCAGTGAAGGAGACCCAAGAATTTGACGGGTACCTGCTATACATGTGTTTTGCGAAAGAGTAATCGGTTTGCGGATGATCAAATTCCCTGATTCACGTTGGTTCTGAGTCTGGGGGTATCCCGGGGTATGAGGTGGCGGCGGCGACAAAGAAGGCATCTTATAGCTCGATGACCCAGAGGGCCGTTGACTAACTTGGTTAAGCTAACTGTCCCAGGGGCAGGGTGGTGGGGAGACGTACATCCCGCGCGAAATTTTTTCCTCGTCTGCCTCATACAGGTGGGAGGTGAGTTCTTTCTCGTCTGGGATTCGGACGTGGGTTTTTGAGCGTTCAGGGGTTTTAGTTAGTTCAATCCCAGCATACCTCGCTTACGGTCCCCAACACGTAAGCGGAAGTACAGCGATTTACCACCGACCAAGACAAGGACGGTCATTTGAACAATACAACATCAAAACTCTTGAAACACATTTTTCTTGTCCACTATAACAGAAATAGTTACAGGATGTTGATAAATACGCGTGCGGGTCCAGAATTGGTCCGCTACCCAGAAATTATGCGAATTTATAAAATATAAGTCTTTCATTAAAAGTAAAAATACAACACCAAAGCAAAAGTTTTACTGCCATGTTAGAGATAGATTAGTTTATTCACTACCTAATCTTTCTTTTATTGCATAGATAGGTGGACGAGCTCACAGCCCACCTGGTGTTAAGTGGTTACTATAACCCATAGACATCTACAGCGTAAATGCGCCACCCACCTTGAGATATAAGTCCCAAGGTCTCAAGTATAGTTACAACGGCTGTCCCACCCTTCAAACCGAAACGCACTACTGCTTCACGGCAGAAATAGACAGGAGGCGGTACCTACCCGTGTGGACTCACAAGAGTACCACCAGAATCGCTGTTTTTAAATGTGAAAACTACATAATTAATATTTAACGAAGATTACAAGATACTGCTCTAGTCTAGGGCTTTTTTTATTTGTAGGCTGTCGAATATACGGCCCATCTGATAGTGAGTGGTTACCGTCGTTTGTGGAAGTCAATAATGTCAGGCACACTATACTCGAATTTTTAATTAGACGAAGCCAGCTGATAGTAGCTAATGTCACTTTGTGAAATAATGTTGCTATATTTAAAGTAATAGTGATGCGTTCAGTTCTCGTTCAATCACATGAATGAACAATGAGTGTGAAGAGTTAACCATTTCAAATTATAAAAGAATATTATTTATATTTTACAATAAAATTGTATTAAAGTGCTCAAATATATGTTACTAGGATGTAACTAAAATCAGTTTTTTTATTTTCATTACCATATGATGCTGATACCATCAACTATATGATGTATTGAAAATAGGACAGTCTTGTTTTTTTTTTGTTACTTAGATGGTTGGACAAGCTCACAGCCCACCTGGTGTTAAGTGGTTGCTGGAGCCCATAGAGATCCACAACGTAAATGCGCCACCCACCTTGAGATATAAGTTCAAAAAGTCTTACAAGCTTCCTCGCAATGTTTTTCTTAATGTTTAAAACACTCGGTATTCAGTACAGGTAGATACGATAGGAACATAATATTTCGTCGAAAACTCGTTGGTATGTACAAAGCACGGCTAAAATTCGAACCCTGTACCCGATATCGGCAATTCGGCACACTAACTATTCACTAGACAATCGAGGCAATTTCATTAATTCAGGAGTTTTTTCAATCATTCACTTTGTCACAACACTATTTTTATTTCATAAAAAACTGACAACACAGTAAACGTCAGTTGACTTCGTCTAATAAAAAATCCGACTATACCAACCAGCCTAGCTACTTCACTATGGTCGTAAATATCATTTCTTTTTTTACAGATTAACACAATAGATTTAATTTAGTCTTATCTCTAGAAAACTTATCGAATACGAAGAAGAGTTCGACGTGCAACCTAGTCCATAGACACAACCCGCTGAGTTTCTCGCCTGATCTTCTCAGTAGGTTGCGATTCTGTTCCGGTGGTAGATTCAACGAAGCGCTGCTTTTGCTAGGGCTAATGGTAACAACTTCTCTCAGGTTGTGTCCGTGAGCAACTAGCAACTAGGTATGGAAAAACATAGCTACACTTATATGTTTTGTTAATGATTTTTATTTGTCTTCTAAGTTAGAGGAACATATTGCTTGCACATAAATGTTGTTTTACATAAAAATAATTTTGAAAGGTCTTCGTTACGTACCAGCAATGCTAGGGATACAGTCCAGTCGCTGCTTACTGCTTTTTTCCCCTACCTATGCTGATAGCCTTGAGAGGTTATTTCAGCTTCGCCCTAATAACATGTAGGTGAGCTCGCGAGGCTCAAACTGGAGTGTTGCTAACACTGGCCCTAGCAAGAGCAGTGCTTCGCAGAATCTACCACCGGATCGGAAACGCGACCCACTGAGAAGATCCGGCGAGAAACTCAGGCTGTGTCTATGGGTTAAGGATTACCGTAAACTATCTACCTAATTATCGTAATAATAGAAGGTAAGAATATCATAATGAAACATTTCACTCAGTTGCAAGATGTATAAACAATAAAATACTTTTTTGAAATTAAATAGTATTTATTTAAATATAGGTCTTTTTAGGTACTTAACTTATGTAGATAAAAACATTTGAGGTATTTATAATCTGATTGCTTCTTAGAAATTAGAACAAAGAAATAATAAGCCATTACATATATATTTCTTTACGATAATGTGGCGGAATGCTTCTTTAAGACGTAACACTAAAAACATAGCGTCTAAATATAATGCTGGTCAACAAACCCGTAAACTATAGAAAAGTCCAGAATACTTGTAAACTGTTTAAAATAAATAAAGCACTTATAAAACGTAAATTACTACTTGTTAAACTAACTCCATTCGATTTTTCTTTCTCTCTCTCTTCCCTTTTGATATGAGCCACTTCCTTCAAACGTGCACTGAATTCTTTGGAGCCCAGTAGCCTTCCGTATCTGAACTCAGCACATTGCATCGTCATAGTCGGAGGGAGACCTACGAAATCGAATCTCGAACTGTTTTTTTTCAAGGTCGCTTTGCCCCTTGTGTCTTCCATTTCATGTCCGTTTATGTACCAACGTATTTCGGAGTCGGGAGCGGCACGACAATACGCTTGTATCAGTTCCCCTTCAGCGTATTCCTCAGCCAAGCCTTCGAGCAGTGGCTTCCTGTGTTCGTGACCGTGAACTTGCATATACGCTTTGCGGGACTCGAATAAATGAGGCGGAGCATCTCTTTCTATGTCACATCGATACAATCCTGAGGCTTCCTCACTGAGACCACCTAGTTTCAGTCTGCACGCAGTAGGTCCACAGGCTACCAGTTGGATCCGTCCCACTCCGAGTATTGGAAACGATCGTGTACTCGGCGCGGCGCCCGGTTTGTACCTGAAGAACTCAGTGGAGCCTTTGAACCAGTTGAGGATCGTGAAGTTGGCGTCGTAGCGGCACTCGATGTCCACTTCGTCCTGTCCCGGCCACACGACCTCGGGGACCATGAGGTACGTGATGTTAAAAGGTCGCGAGTTTGCGGCACTGACTGCGATGAGAAGGAGCGCGAGGGTCAGCATGGTGCCGAAGCGCGCGCGCGTCTCACACTGCGCCCCGACTCCTGACTTAACGCAGCGCCGCTAAAGCACTCTTAATTAAACAGTTTATTAAACTCCGACACTTAACCGTTGTACTGAACACGGATCCTCTCTCTTTGTCACGTTATTATTTTCGTTCGTTTTAATACTAGACAAATTGGTTACGGCTGTGGGGCGGGTGTAATAATGGTTTTTCGTATTTAGTTTAAGGGGGCCACTTCCCTATTAATTAACTAATTTTTAAGGGTGCGAGTTTTGTTATTAGATATATCGCTAGAATGTTACGTTAATTTATACAAACGTTATTAATCTTGTAGTTCAGGGTTAAAAGTTCATAAATATTCGATTCGATTTACATACAACAAACATACAAATAAGCTAATAAAATCGTGTTAAAAACAGCTTAGTATCGATCGTGGTCTTAGCTTTATGGATGTTTATTTCACTTCACACTAGCTAAACAGATACAATAGCACATAAAAATGCGGGATGCAACATCTGCTATCGATTTACATAAATATTTTAGAATATATATATTATATTAATATATTTTAGAATATATATTCGAACCCGTCGCTTGCGACGAAGGACTCGACGAGCGAATTAACCCATAGACACAGCCCACTGAGTTTCTCGCCGGATCTTCTCAGTGGGTCGCGTTTCTGATCCGGTGGTAAATTCTGGGAAGCACTGCTCTTGCTAGGGTCAGTATTAGCATCACTCCAGTTTGAGCCCCATGAGCTCACCTACTAATTAAGGTTACGCTGAAATAGCCTCTCAAGGCTATCAGTTTAAGTAGGAAAAAAAACCGCTCTTATAAAATACGACAAAAGAAAAAGTATCAAAGCAGTTAATGTTTGAGTTCTGTAGCATTAAAGGGTTACGTTGTCAGGCCGAGTTCCAAATTGCAACAAATATGTGTCATCCAATTTCTGCAGGTCGCACGAATGTGTACTGAGACGTTAATCTGAGATTTTCTCGGAACATAAAACTGGCTAGTATTACGAGTTACTTACTTAGCAGTTGTCGCACACCTAACATCTCTATAAAACGATATTGTTATGTATGAAGAAACTGTGAGAGTAAATCGACGCTTGAAAGGCAAACATGACTAAGCGACAATAACTGCTTTGTACATAAATGAAAGGCAATAACCATATTCGATACGTATAAAATATATATTCCTAGGTCTATTCAAATCATTTCAATCCTACAGCTACTAGCTAGATCCTACTACAGCTAGATTCGTTAAAATAAATTTTATTTTCAGGTATTTCAACTTTAAATTAGTCTACTGTAAATTTCACGCATTGTCGCTTAGTCACGTTTGCCTTTCAAGCGTCGAAATGCAATATTTTTGTTTTTTAGAGATCCTCTTCCATCGGAGTTTAGAAAGGGTTCAAATTTAAAAGCACGAATCTAAGTATGATCATGAGTGACAAAATACCGGTTTTTTGCTATTACATATTCGCTTGAATGAACTCACGGCCCATTTGTGGTATTATGTGAATACTGGACTAGACATCACAACGTTAAAGCTTACTTTGAGGTATGAGGTCTAAGTCTCAATAGTAGATACCTACATTGTAACGGTTGTTCCACTTTCCAAGCCAGGACGCGTTACAGTTTCGCGGCAGAAATAGACAGGGTAGTGCCGTACGGACTGACAAGACGCCCAACTTCCAATAAAACTAGACATAAGCTCGAATGTAAATGAAACCCGCAAAATTATAATTTGCGTAACTACTGGTGGACCTCTTGTGAGTCCTCACGAGTAGGTACCACTACCCTGCCTATTTCTGCCGTGAAGCAGTAATGCGTTTCGGCTTGAAGGGTGGGGCAGCCGTTGTAACTATACTGTGGGGCTTTACAACTTATATCTCAAGGTTGTTGGCGCATTTACGTTGTAAATGTCTATGGGCTTCGGTAACCACTTCACACCAGGTGGGCTGTGAGCTCGTCCATCCATCTAAGTAATAAAAAATAATAATGTAAGTTTCATATTTATTAACACTTATAGAAATAACAAGCCTATTGTTTGCTTTTTTATTTACCTAACTAATGCCTGGTAATTATACTGAGACCTTAGAAGTCATATCTCAAGGTGGGTGGCGGCATTTACGTTGTAGATTTCTATGGGTTCCAGTGACCACTTAACACCAGGTGGGCTGTGCGCTCGTCCAAACATATAAGCAATAAATAAATAAAAGTTTAATAGGCTATTCCCGCTACGTTTGGATGTTATTCTCTCATTATCGTAAACGAGCCCAGAAGAAGATCTAGTTAAAACGCTACAATAGAAATGTTCCCGATAAGCCGTAGAGACTCCGGGCGCATCCCATCTCAGTGGCCCACGCGTCTCGGAAACAAGACATTACAATTTTATTAGCGATCATCATACTAAGTGTTATCAGCCTAATTGAATAATGCATCGGTATAGAGAAGCGCTGTGTGGTTCTGTTTGTATGCTGGATTTATTATACACATTCTCAACAAAATTGTTTATATAAAATGAATTATAATCATGACTTCCAGATGATAGGTATTGTTTAAAAAAAATCGTATCTTTATTGACCTACTACAACAATTAATCTTAATTAAATTATTTAAATATAGTATTAAAATTATACTTAGCTATTTGTCCAGTATACCAATGATTTGTCCAGAGCAATTGGTTTAATATATGGTCTAATTTTGGTCACAAAAGACAAACAAGAAAAAAACAAGAATTATTGTTTTTATGATGAGACATAAAATGTAGATTTTTTTACGGCCCACCTGATGGTGATTAACTATTTATTCAGTATACGAACGATATGTCCAGAGTAATTCGTTTAATATATGATCGAATTTTCATCACAAAGGATACCGTTCAAAATGCAACCACTACAAGAAAAAAATCATGAATTATTGTTTTTATGATGAGACATAAAATATAGCTTATTTTACGGCCCACCTGCGGGTGAGTGGTCACCGTCGCCCATGGACTTCAGCAATGCCAGGGGCAGAGCCAAGCCGCTGCCTAATTTAAATAGGTCACACTCTCAAAATACACAGACAAAAGTATTGTACGAAAATTGATATACATAGTTGTAATGTAACCGGATGAGACTAACAGCGAGAGTGGCTTAGACGAGTGACCCTCGAACAAATTGTTTCAAACGATACAATTTCATAACGGACGGAAAGTATAGGGTTTCAAAGTATTCCGTTTTCTTTGACCTCCCTAAGGAATTTAAGGACCTATTTATTCTTTTGGCTCAGCGATTCAAACTGGATCAGCAACTCCGAAATGAGAATTCTAAATCCCTCTCGTGTTTTATTTTTATTGATTAGATGGGTGGACGAGCTCACAGCCCACCTGGTGTTAAGTGGTTACTGGAGCCCATAGACATCTATAACGTAAATGCGCCTCCCACCTTGAGATATAAGTTCTAAGGTGTCAACTACAGTTACAACGGCTGCCCCACCCTTCAAGCCGAAACGCATTACTGCTTTACGGCAGAAATATGCGGGGTGGTGGTACATACCCGTGCGGACTCACAAGAGGTCCTACCACCAGTAAAAATATCGACTCAAATATTACCAGCAATGCTTAAAAAGATACCGTGTCCAATAACGTTTTTTTATTTTTTTTTTATTGCCCTTGTAGGCAGACGAGCATACGGCCCACCTGATGGTGAGTGGTTACCGTCGCCCATGGACTTCAGCAATGCCAGGGGCAGAGCCAAGCCGCTCCCTACCGCTAAACGTACCAATCACCGAGATTGAATGATCGATTGAGCTCTAGATAATTTCCATGTTTGTTTTGATGCTTTTAGTACAACACTGCTTTATCGGATACACATAGCCTACACTGTAACGATATTTATTAAGATAACAAGAAACACTCGCAAACAGAAACGCAATGCTAACTCTTGCACAAGTTGTTGTTTTTATCCTTTCTGAGTCGTTCTGATTGACTCATGAATACTGTATTAGTGAGAGTCATCAAATTCGTGTAATTCATTTCGAAAGATTTGTAACAAGCTTCGTTAGAGTTGAAACCCGAGATGAGCAGAGAGCGATTATTTTAAAACGCTGGAGAATTCGAACTCTCATCTCAATAAGTTCATTTAATTTTGCACAGTTATACATACGTTAAACCGTATTTAAACATTGTACAGCCGTTCTAAAGAAATCATCAGGACAATAGCTTTATTTAATTTGGTCGAGTAATAATTTAATAATTTTGGATTGAAAACATATAGCAATTAACACGCAACTGTAATGCAATTAGCTTGTTTCAGTTATCTCATGTGTGTACGTAGCTACTACTATGAACATTCGCCCAGCACTGAATCTACGGAATGAATCGCCTTTTTTTTTTATTGCTTACGTGGATGGACGAGCTCACAGCCCACCTGGTGTTAAGTGGTTACTGGAGCCCATAGACATCTACAACGTAAATGCGCCACCCACCTCGAGATATAAGTTCTAAGGTCTCAGTATAGTTACAACGGCTACCCCACCCTTCGAACCGAAACGCATTACTGCTTCATGGCGGAAATAGGCGGGGTGGTGGTACCTACCCGTGCGGACTCACAAGAGGTCCTACCACCAGTGATTACGCAAATTATAATTTTGCGGGTTTGGTTTTTATTACACGATGTTATTCCTACACCGTGGAAGTCAATCGTGAACATTTGTTGAGTACGTATTTCATTAGAAAAATTGGTACTCGCCTGCGGGATTCGAACACCGGTGCATCGCTACGTACGAATGCACCGGACGTCTTATCTTTTAGGCCACGACGACTTCGCCTATGCACTTCTCCTACTTCTGACTCTTCGATCAACAATTGTAACCTGACTAAAGTAGTTGTTCAGTTACATGTTTCGTAACTAGATTAAATAAATATATTGTTTTATTAACGGACGTATTCAATTATTGATAAAATAAAAGAGTATGTAAAGTATTATGCTACAAAAAGAGGCACCGAAAATAATAATTAGAAATAGAATTAATTGGATATCCAAATCGCACTTGATTCAAATATCATACTGTCTATTATA